ACTTCGAATGGGCGGTGTGGGTCGGCGATGCGCAGTACAGGCGGTGAACAAAGAACATTTTTCAGGGCAGAGAAGGCAGCATGCTCTTTCTCCCCCCACGTAAAAGCGACCCCCTTCCGCAGTAAATCCGTCAGTGGGGCGGTCAACCGTGCCATGTCTGGGACGAACCGACGCACATAATTAACGAACCCTAAAAAACTCTGCAGCTCCGTGATGTTTGTCGGGGGGTGCCATGCTTTTACCGTGTCCAGCTTCTTTGGGTCGATCTCAACTCCAGCCTCCGAAATAACATGCCCCAAAAATTCTAACCTATCCTGGAAGAACTCGCACTTGGAACCCTTGGTCAGTAGTCTGTGCTCATCTAAAACTTTAAACACCGCTTCCAGATCTGCTAAGTGCTGCTGCTTATCGCGACTGTAGACTAGGATGTCGTCGAGGTAAACTATCACGCATTTATCTAAGAGTGGTCTAAACGCCTCGTTCATGGTCATCTGAAATGTCGCCGGTGCGTTGGTCAGCCCGAATGGCATTACGGTATACTCGAATGACCCATACCTAGTTCTAAATGCCGTTTTTACGCAGTCCGATGGTTCGACCCGAATCTGGTGGTAACCTCCGCGTAAGTCAATTTTCGAAAAGACCCGTGCTGTTCGTAGTTGATCTATCAGTTCGTCGGCTCGGGGAATGGGGTATCGCGACTTGACTGTTACCCTGTTTAGTGCTCTGTAATCGATACACATGTGAAAACCCCCGTCTTTTTTCGGTGTGAACAGTATCGGTGCGGCGAACGGTGACGAGCTCGGTCGGATGAATTTTTTCTCTAACAGGTAATCTAACTGCTTCCTCAGTTCATCGAGCTCTGGTTGTGTCAGTCGGAATTGTCGCTATACAGTTGGTTGTGCCCCCGGTTCTAACTCTATTCGGTGGTCATGTGCCCGCTGAGGTGGCAGTCCCTCTGGTAAATCGTCCGGAAAAATCCCCGGGTACCGTTTCAACAGTTCCTGTAGTTCGGGCGGTACCGCTGCCAACAGTTTCTGAAAATCGCTCGACTGCTCTGCTTCTCCTACCAATGCTATATCCACTGCGTACACGTCAGCTCCAGCGGCGACAGCCCGTTTCATCGTGATGGCGTTGACGTGGACCGTTGAAGACTCGGGCGACTGCCAGCGAGGTAGCACGACCCAGTTACCGCTGCTTCGCACAGTGCAGCTACCCGTCGTCCAGTCGATTCGCGGATTATACCGTCGCAGCCAGTCACGTCCCAGTAAAATGTCGTGCCCATCCAGTGTCGTCGCGAGCATTTCCTGTGTAAACCCAAAGTTCCCCCCACTGCGGACTTTTACTCTTTCCACTTTCTCCCATATGGCCAGCGGCGTGCCGTCGACTAAGCGTGCATCTATCTCCGGTAAACACCGACTAAGTGTCAGCTGCAGCTTCCGTGCGGTTGCGGTATTAACTAAGCTGTGACTTGCTCCTCCGTCGATAAAAATCTTCACTGAAGCTCCCTGTATTTTCCCGTGAATCAGTACTGGGCAATCCGTCGCTGTACCCTCCTTATTCATTCGAGCCCGATCGATAGCGTGAATCGGTACTGTGACTCGGTGAGGGTCGGTGAGGTTGGGCGAGCAGGCAGTCTCGTCAATAGTTGGCCCAATTTCTACTGACTGCTGGCGTTTCCCTGCCTCTGAGACTCCCTCCCCTGCTCTTCTCCGCGGCGCCTTAGCTCCTCTGGGCACTCGCTTTTGCGATGGCCCGGCCTGTTGCAAGCAAAGCAGCGCCCCTTAAACGGCGCGGCAGCTCCATTCGTCGCAACAGCGTGAACGGTGGCATGCTCGATCGGTCCCCGAGGGCGATGTCCGTAATAGGACCCCGGTCTCGGACGGCGCAAAATGTCGATTTTATCGGCGAGCGCGAGGATCTCGATAAAATTCGAGAGCCCGCGCAGCATGATTTCGTGCGAGATGTACGGCTTCAGCCCTCCGACGTAATGGTCCACCCGCTCCGCTTCGTGCATGTAGCCGACTTGCTCGCATAATGCGAGAAAACCGCTCGTGTAGTCTTGAACTGATCCGAGCTGCCGCCAAGTACGCAGTCTCTGACGCGCCGAAATAGAAGCCGCGATCGGCTCGAAGCGCGCCCGAAGCCCTGCGCACCACGCATCCCACGTGCTGTACTGGGCGGTTTCGCAAAATGAACTCCAGGTGACGGCTGGGCCCGTGGGCTCTTCCTCTTGCGACGGTGGCTCGTAGGCGCGTGGCGACGTCACGATGACTCGCCACCAGTCCATGGCGGGGCCCCTCAGCAACGAAACAGCGTAGCGAATCTTCGCTGCGTCCGACTCGACGTAATTCGTGTCGAAGAAAACGTTCATCGTGAAGACCCACGATTGAACCGTCGGACCTCCACGTTGGCTTGGATCGAAACAGGGCGGGCGCTGCGGCTTGAGTGGCATTGGTGCCATGATGTCGTGGCTGCCACTTGTTGCTGCAAACTCCACGTGCAGACGAGCTTTGCGAGGCCCACGCGGGCTTGGTGCGGCCCTATTTCTCTCCATGCCAGGCATCGATTGGGCGGCGCCATCACTGGCTGCGCCTGAGCGCTGTCCCACGCTGTCGTGTTGCGTCGGTGTGCCTGATGAGATGACGATCGGTTCTTCTGATTGCGCAGGTGCATTTGCGGGTGCTTGTGATGGTGCTGGCGCATTCACTGTTGATTGCTGGCGGGCGGAGTCACGTTCCGCCGTGAGTGTCGCGATTTCGAGCGCCGAGTCTTCGAGTTGGCGCACGAGACGGTCGAGTTGCTCCTGTGTCAATGTCGCAAGATTAATTTCGGCCATGGCGGGGGTGTCGGGCAAGCTCAGCAAGAGCCTCTGTCGTGGCCGTGCGTGCTTACGAGAGAGCACTTCGAGCGGCGGTGCTTGTTCGCTGAGAGACGTCTACCCCCCCCAAAAAATTGAGATAATGGGGAAGCGAAGGTGTAGGCGCTGTTGGAGGTCGCGTGAGTTAGAAGCAAACGGTGGTGGGGCAATTGATATGCCCCCAACCCACCGAATGTGTTTCGGTGCTAACCGCTTGAGTGAGCTGCAGGTTTCACAAAGTGTGTGGGTTGACTTCGGAAGACCCACTCGATTGGTGCCACATGGCAACACAAGAAGAATCGAGACTCAGGGAGAATTCGATTCGGTGAAATTCGAGAGTCGAATTTCACCCCTTCGATGTTACTCGAACATTCGAGTGTACCGCGGTTCGAGGTTACATGTGCGATTCGACGTTTTGCAGTTCATATAAATGTGTTTGCTTTTGTATTGCATTATAATACAAAAAAACCAGAGTTCTTTGTACGTGGTACATTCGAACACAAATTCCAGAGAGCTTCTTTACTTGCATTCAAGAGCACTACCCAACACGTGAACGCCTATATCTAGGCGGATACTTAGGCGATCAACGTGTGTGACGGCTCGTTGGAAAGCTAAGACAGAGCTCTATCGTTTAGAACAATTCCCAGTTCCTGCAAAGTAGAGGAGATTCCTTTACAACAGGCGCGGTCCGAGAGGAGATCGTAGGCTCTGAATACCAAGTGTTACGAGCGCAATTGAGTGAGCGAGCGAGAATTGCACTATCGAAGCAAAACAATACAGTTGAGTGAAAAGCATGAGCGAAGTTATATAGCGAAGCTAGCGTGGTAACGGTAATGCGAGAAATTGGGGTGCGCTACGGGCCTAGCGCCGGGGTTGGGAATTGTCGAGGCGGAGGTCCGGAGCGCGGGTTACCAACCGAACCGTGAGGTTGGGTCGCATCGTGAACGGTGGCGGGAGTCGTGGTCGAGGCGAATGTCGCGAGCGGGTAACGTTCACGGATGGGTGCCGATGGCGGGAACGGGCATGTACGCGGTAAGCAGGGACGCGAAGTAAGGAAAAGGAATTTTCCTTACAAGATGAGATTTCTCCCATATTTCCACATTGGTGCTGTTCGCCAGCACCCATGAAGCCAAAAACCACGGGATAACGACGGGATCAGGAAGGTGGGTCTCGCCTTCCTGATCCCGTCAGTTAGGGTTCGTTTACCTCCGTCAGCCTGGTCAGCCCGTGAAAAAGGTGCCGAGCCTCCCCTACCGTCCAAACCAACAACCAAAGTGGGTGTTTGGCGAACGCCCCCATTTGTCCATCAAATCTAACGGTTCGACGGCATATGGAAGCGGGGACGCAACTTCGTCCCCAAGCAAAATACCATCCCCAAGCCATGCCATCGTCATGCCCCGTTTTTCAAAGCACAGCGGTTGCACAGCCGTCGCATTGCCGTTCAGAGGGGAACCTCTAAACGAGCCATTTGTTTGACAAAAGGGGGTTCGTATACCCCCCATTTTTCCCTCCCAAACACACCTTCGAAATGCCCCCCGCACATGACTTGGTCGAAATCGTTCGCAACTCCGTCAGCACGCACATTCCTACTCCTTGGCACAATCGCGACAGTCTTAGGCTTCACTAGGCTCAGACAACCCACGTTTGAGTGGGTTGGGTTTTATTTGCGTTTTTTACCCACGTTGAGCAATTTTTGGTCAGCGGGCAGCATTTGGGTCAGTGAGGCTAAAGTTTCGCGCCATTGGGGGGAAGGTGGGGATGGAGGTTCCCGATGCACAGCGTAATTTCGCCTTTCGGGAACAGAGGTTTCTCGAGTGGCATTACGCCCAAACCTCGGAGGTGGGTTCCGCCTCCGTTTCCGGATGCGGTCGCGATGCCGATGCCATCTTTTTCATTCAAAACTTCGATTTGCTGGCGAACAGCACCATTATGAAACAACGCAGTCGCGGCCAATTCATCAGCGGTTGAGGAAGTCTATATCCCCTCTAAAGCCAGATTCACGTCAACCAACATCCGCCTGCTGGTAACCCCTAGTGTGTGGGTTTACACTCCATACTGTCAGGCGGCTCTGCCAGCAGTAACATTTTCCGCAGGTTACGCTGGGTAACTCCTCTCACTACCGTTGGGTCCTCGTCACTGAGCCATGGCCGTGAATGGAAGTCGAATAGTAACTATCTCTCCATGCGCACCCGCTGCCCCTCCTCCTCCACCTGCGGCCTTCCCGTGCGCGCACTTGCCGTCACCTCGCGTTTCCAGCATTCGCTTCTGTAGGACACACCTCAGTAGCGCCGGCGGCGGCGGCAGGGACTGTAGAAACCGCGCCCGATCGAGCCGCAGACGCGCCGCGATCGTCGCTGGAGCCGCTGCGAATCGGGTGGGCGGGCAGGGCGGCGGTGAAAGCTTCGATAACAGTAGCAATGCCGATGAACGGCTCAGCGCAGACCGAGAGAATGCGGACCGAGGCGGCGCGGGCGGAGGCAATGCGGAGCGCCTGGAGGATCTAGAGGCCGTGGATCGCCTCGCGCAAGAGCTGGCCGCCGCCGCAGGAGCAGCGGGAGCGGAGTCGGGAACCCTCGACAGGCGCAGCGCGGCGCATGAGGCGGAGAAGGCGGAAGCGGAGGCGGAGGAGCAACAAGGGCGGAGGGGCGCGCGGGGGGAGGGGGATGATGCGGCGGCGTCGTGGATCGGGTCGAGTGTGGCGTTCGCGGAGGAGGACGAACAGGGGCGCAAGTACCTCGAGCTGCTGGTTACCAGCGTGCACCGCGTCGACCACGGTACGGTATGGTGCAGTGCAGTGCAATGTGGTGCTGATCGGTGCGGTGCGGAGTGTGTGTGCTACGGTATCTTGCCACGTGCGTGAATGCTGTTGTGAATTTACGCTCTTCTCTTGTGGATTGGCCTTCTCCACTCCACTCCACTCCACTCAACACCACTCCACCACTCCATTCCGCGTCTCTCCCGTTGCCTTACTCGCTTCCTCTACCCACGCGTTCCTTTTCCGTCTCCTCGCCCCTCTCGAGGCAACCAACCTTCATTCCCCTTGCCTCTCCCTTCCGCCATCCTCCTCCGTGCCTCCCCCGCCCCTCCCCCGACCCTCCTCCGTCCCTCCCCTCCCCGTCTCCTCGTGCAACAGGCATGGTGGTGGGGGTGCTATGTTCACCGGCCAACAGGGGTCGCCAGTGGATGCGTGTTGGGAGTTCCCGCTCTTCCTCAACGCCCTCATCGCTGCTCTTTCCTTGCCCCTCCCCTCCCCTTCCCCCTACCTCCCGTCCGTCCCCTTGTGCAACAGGCATGGTGGTGGGGGTGCTTTGCTCACCGGCCAACAGGGGACCGCCAGTCGACTCAAAACACACCTTTCACGTTCTCTCCCCTCCCCTCCCCTTCCCCCGGTGTGCGGCAGGCATGGTGGTGGGAGTGCTATGTTCACCAGCCAACAGGGGGCCGCCAGTGGACGCGTGCCGGGAGTTCCCTCTCTTCCTCAACGATCTCATCGCCGCGCCCTGCCACGACGCCATGCAGCGCGGGGGGCTCCCTAACGGTACGGTTCGCTGCTGATGCGATAGAGGGCCCCACTCATTCACACTCACTCATTCACACTCACTCATTCGCACTCACTCACTCGCACTCACTCACTCGCACTTGCACTTGACTCCTTCTCGCGCTCCTTTGCTCCTTTCTTAACTGGACACTGCATGTCGCCTCGTTCCAACACTGTGCCCCCTTGATAGTTCTATTTCTTATGTCTCTCTCCCCAATCTCTTCTCTTACGTCTCCTTTCCCCCTCCTCCAACACCACCCGCCCTCCCCGCAACTTCCACTTCCTCCCCCGATATCCTCGCCTCCCTGACCCGCATCCCCACCAGCGTTGGAGGGGCTAGAGAGGCTCAGCGACATGGACTTGCAGCGAACGCTGGTGCATGCTATTAACGAGGATATAGGGGCAGTGTCGTTTGTGCTACTGGATGAGAAGACTGGGGAGTTCTCACGAGTGGACTCCTCCTTCCCCCAGGTGACGCCACAGCTCCATTCTCTGCCTCTGCCCAAATTGCCCTCTGCCCAAGAACCTCAGTACAAAAAACTATATACATATGTATGTATATGTATGTGTATGTATATATATGTATATATGTATATTTGTATATATTTATATATTTATATTTATATATTTATATATTTATATATTTATATATGTATACTTGTATATTTGTTTGAGTATATGCATTTGCCCGCATCACCGCTTCTTCCCCTTTCCTCACCATCCTCTTCTCTGCCCACCCCTCTCCACCCACTCCAACCCCTCCTGTTCCCCACACGGGCGACGGGCAGGCGATGGCACTGGCGCTGCGGTACCGGCAGCCGCTGCGTGTGGAGCGGTGGTGCATCCTGGCGTCCAACCGCGACTTCATAGAGCGCATGCTGCTCAACCCCATCGGTGGGTGTCTGCTGCCTGGGCGGGCGAGGGAGAATGGAGTGAGGGAGTGAGTAGGTGAGTGCAGCCACATGTGCGGGCATACATACTGCGAGTGGAGCGGTGGTGCATCCTGGCGTGAAACAGGGACTTCATAGAGCGCATGCTGCTCAACCCCATCGGTGCGTGTCTGCTGCCTGGGCGAACGGGTATGGTGAGTGGAGTGAGGGAAGGGAGGGACGGACGGACAGAGTGAGTAGGTGGAGTGACCGAGAGAGAGAGAGTGCGTGAGTGAGGGAGGGAGGGAGGGAGTGAGTGAGTTTAGGCACATGTGCAGTGCAGGCATGCTGTTTACACGTGCATGCATTCCCCCATCCTCTAACGAAGTGACTTTCGAGTCCGCATCCTCTACACAGCAACCCCACTCCACCCCAGATGCCATATTCTTCCCCATGCACGAGAGGAGTTCCGGTTTTACAAGCTCTTGGCTAGTAGCTAGTGTTAAGAATTACACTGTCTTTTTCCTACTTGCTCAAGCCTAAACCTAAGCGCCGCTGCTCACTGGAAAATGTCCGAAGATCTACACAGCAACCCCACTCCACCCCAGATGCCATGCTCTTCCCCATGCCTTCATTCACCCTCCCTCACCACCCTTCCCTCCCACATCCCCTCTTCCCGAGCTGACCCTTGGTACGGCACACTCGAATCCCGGCCGGTTTTTTAGACGTCTCGATCAAGAATCAAGATGACGCTCGAGTCGACGCAATCAATTCCCAGCTTCTCCATCCTCCATTCCGGTTATGGAGGACTCGGGCTCCTCAGGGGCATTTCCGTCTCCATTCCCTCCAACCTCTCCATCCTCCATTCCCTCTCCATCCTCCATTCCCTCTCCATCCTCCATTCCCTCTCCATCCTCCATTCCCTCTCCATCCTCCATTCCCTCTCCATCCTCCATTCCCTCTCCATCCTCCATTCCTCCTATTCCCCTCGCGACTGTCGTTCTCCCGCCCCTCTCACCCCCCTTCCTCCCCCCTCCCCATGGCAGCACGAGAGGCGGAGAACGACGCATCGCTGCTGGCAGACCTGGCGCAACGAGATGACTTTTGAGTCGACTCAGAAGTTACCATCCCTCTCCCGTCTCTCTCTCCCCACCTTCCCACCTCCCCTTCCCTCCCCACGGCAGCACGAGAGGCGGAGAACGACGCATCGCTGCTGGCAGACCTGGCTCAGCGCATGCGGGAGCTAGAGATGAGGCCGCAGGAGCTCAAGACCCAGCTAAACTCTGCTATCAACGCTGAAGAGGTGAGGCGAAACAGTACGCGGGGAAGACACCTCAGGTAACTTGCTCATTGAGCAGGAGCTGAAGATGAGATGAGATGAGACCTGCATAAAAGCCCAACCAGACAAGAGAGGCTGCCATTGATACAGAAGAGGTGCATGAGGCACCTTACTCGCTCACATGCAACGGGCTTGTTTCCAATGAGGCACGGCTCATGAGGCACTGCTCATGAGGCACCGCTCATGAGGGGCACGTTAGAAAACTGTCTCCTCCACTCATTGCCCTCCCCACCCATCCCCAGTCATTCCTCGTTCCCAACCACCACCCGACCCCTCTTTCCTCCACAGCAAGAGGAGGCTGCAGGGCTCAATGCATCTCTGGTGGCAATTCATCCAATCTGGAGTATACTTCCACCTACCCCCCCGGACTTCTCCTCGCAGTACGAGAGAGCAGCGCAGCTCAAGGCGGCGCTGGTGGCGGAGGAGCGAGTGGCGGACGCACGCCTCTTCTTTGAATGCGTCTCCAGAAGCACCCTGCCCCCCACTCCCCCCTTCCCAACTTCTCCCCCGCAGTACGAGAGAGCAGCGCAGCTCAAGGCGGCGCTGGTGGCGGAGGAGCGAGTGGCGGACGCACGCCTCTTCTCCCTGCTCGAAGAAGTCAAGCGCCTCTACCTCGACCGCCTCTCAGTCTTCTTCAAGCTCTAGCTCTCTCACATGCGACTTGAAAGCGAGTCTTGAGACGACTCATAGGGTATTGTATTACATGTATGAGGCGTCTTGAAGGTCGGCTCTTCTTCTCCCTGCTCGCAGAGGTCAAGCGCCTCTACCTCGGCCGCCTCTTGGTCTTCTTCAAGCTCTAGCTCTCTACCTCTCACACAGCTTGAGATCGAGACCTTCTTGAGTCGACTTCAAGATTCAAGCCCTCACACAACTTAAATTCCAGCTTTGAGACGGCTCATACCGTACCGTACCGTGGGATTGATGCGTCCTATAGAATGGCTCTCCTCTGCTGCTTGCTGAAGCGCCCGTTCCCGGATCAGCTCCCTCTCTCTTTCAACCTGTAGCCGCACTGTGTCGCAAAAACACACGTAGTAGCAGTAGTAGTGGTAGTAGCGCAGCTGCTCGGTGCTTCACCTGCAGTGACAGTTATGTACCTGGGAGGACTATCGAGGAGGATCTGTGTTCACTTTTTTCTAGTCAGGATACCGTATCCTGAAAGAGCAGTTGGCTGTGCCGTCCTCATTGTCATTGCTTGATGTCTGATACGGTGCATTTGGCCAAAAACACTCACGGTTCAAGTACCTGATACCCAGAAAGACAAGAGAAATGTCTGTATGCACAAGTTATTAGACACATTCACTATACACCGAACAGCCTCTGCTGTCGTCACGGGACTATTTGAATGTGGTCTCAAACCATCCCTCACAAAGAGCTGTCCATACACTCCCTTGCATTGCATGGGAGACGAGATGTACACTACACAATACAGAATCAATATTTCCAAGCTACGACTTAGGACTGCGCTGCATCCACGTATGGCAGAGGGGTTACCGGTACGGCGGTAGCATCCGCCGCAGCAGCATCAGGGTAATGACAACTTGTCTCTGCAGAGGAGCCCACACTCATGCTGCCGGCGCACACAGCTGGCAAGGCAGACACACCAAGAAGAGCGCTGCTGCGGCCAGCACCACTGCACGTGCTGGTTGCGTGCGGATGGGGAAGAAGAGCCGGAGCAGTGGGTCCGTTTGGAGTTGCTGTGCCATTGCAGGCGATGCTGCTATGATGATGGTTGACACGCTTAGCCCTGCCTAGCTGCTCCTGCTCCTGCACCTGTCCTTGAAGCACCTGAGAACTGCTACGATTCTCGGCTTCCAAGCCTCGCCCGTTGGCTGCTGCTGCTGCTGCACTATTCAGGACATAACTTGCAGGATCGCTGCTGCTGCTGCTGCTGCTGCTGCTGCCAGAGTTGGTGTGCTCACCACAGCTGCAAGAGCAGTTACCGGCACCACTTCGGCAGTCACCAGCCTGCTGCAGAGTCGCCGGAGCATGGCAGGAACACAGCTGGTCGTCCCCACGCGAAACATCAGGCTGAGCAGGCTGAGCAGGCTGAAGAAGCTGAGGAAGCTGAGGAAGCTGGGCACCACGCTCTGCTGCTGCAAATTTCTCATAGCTCCCCTTCTGCTGCTGCTGCTGCTGCAGTGGCTGTTGCTGCTGACGCTGTTGCTGCTGCCCGTGGTGGTGCTCCGCCCCCTCCTCCCAGTCCACCACGCACACCCCTCCGCCCACCATCACCTGCGTTGCTGCCGGCTCCTGCCTGCTCTCTGCAGACCACAGGAAGCTCGCATACGCTGCCAGCACGAAACTGCTCACAGGAGGGAGCGGAGGGGATGGGATTGGAGGGGAGGGGAGGTTCTGGATGAGTCAGACAGGGGACGGACGAAGACAAACGGCTGGAGAGAATGCGTTGCGGATGGTGAGGGTGAGGTGCGGATGGGGTGCGGATGGGGTGCGGATGGGTGAGGATAAGAAAGCGCACAAGACAGCAGTCATGGTTGGTGTGCTACAAAAAATAACAGAAACTGCAGCTAGCCTGCGTGCACCAGCCATGAGACCCACCGCCAAGGTCTCTGTTTCTATCCGCAATTCCCGTCCCCCATTCCCCCGAACCCGCAGCCCCACTAACGCCCTGTTTCCCCCATACTCCCCTGACACAAACCCCCTAACCCTCCGCCAACCAACAACCCCGGCAACCTCCCCTGCTTCCCCCTTCTCCCCCACCTTCCCCCCCTTCCCCCCTTTTCCCCTGGTGGTTCCCTGCTCGCCCGCACCAGTGATCAGGCGAGAACTACACCCAGCAGTCACCTTTCTATTAGCGGCCTCGAGAATAAAAAAACACCCACCAGTCATCAGGCGATAGCTCCACAGCGCGTTCGAACAGCGCCATGGCGCGCTCCGCGTCTCTACCCGCCTCCCACACCACCTTCGCCCACGCCACCAGCACCTCCGCCTCCCCCGCGGCCCCCTCCGCGCGGCTCGCCACGGCCGCGCGCCGGAACGCCTCCTCCGCGCGCTCGTAGTCCTTGCCCTGCGGGGTGGGGACGGGGGCGGTGACGGGGGGCGGGGACGGCGGTGGGGGGAGGGGGAGGAGGGGGGTAGGAGGAGAAGGGGGAAGGGGGGTTGGAGGGGGGAGAGAGCAGAGGGGAGTAGGGAAGATTGGTAAGAAACGGAGTGGGGGTAGGAGGAGATGGTGGGAGAGGTGGGAGCGGGGAGGTAGATGAGGGGAAGGAGATGAGAGATTTCCTGAGGGGAGGTCAAGGGCTGTGTGAAATCCGAGGAGTATTACGCGCGATGAGTAGTACCAGAGGCCGGCCGCTGCCGCCAAGCCGCCATGCCGTCATTCCACCATCCCTTGCAGGGCAGCCCAGGGCGCAACACACTGCAGCACAGCGCAGCGCATGGCAGCACAGCGCAGCGCAGCGCAGTGGACGTACCTCTGCAAGGAATTGCGCGTAGTTGCCCAGGAAGAGCGACTGCTGCGGGTGCTCCATCAACGCCGCACGGTAATACTGCTCCATGTGCTCGCGCTCCCTCTCCCGCTCCCGCTCCTGCTCCGCCTGCGCCTGCTCCCGCGCAACCGCGCTCCCCTCCCGCATCCACCCCGCCCCATGCCCGCGCCCGTTTCCCCCACTCCGCGCGCTCCCACTAACGCTTTCCAGCGTCGGGCCGTGGCTTCCATTCACCTCGCTCCGCTCGTCGCCGGGTCGTTTTGCTATCCACAGGGAACCGCCGCCAATACCCGCCTCTCCCCCGCCGTTCACCGGAACGCCCCCGCGCTCCTCGCGCACACTCCACGAACCCGCTTCTTCCGGCGACGTGGACCGTTCAAGCCCGAACACCTGCCGTTGCTGCCGTTGCTGCTGCTGCTGCTGCTGCTGCTGCTGCTGCTGCTGCTGCTGCTGCTCGAGTGAAAGAGATTCTTGGCGATAAGAGGTAATCGGCGACCCGTGCGACGGAAACGGGACACCGTTTGCTTTTCTTCCTGCTGCGGCCGCATCACCACCAGCATCAGCAGCGTCACCAGCGTCACCAGCGCCAACAACAACGTCGCCGGCGCTACCAGCGGCGCCACCAGCGATACTCCCGTTCGGCGGTGGTGCGTACACCCCGTTCATGGGCGCCCAGATCGGACGGTCGTCCATCAATATCTCACTCGCGCCATCGTTGCCGTGCATACTGCTGCCCGTGTACCCATCGCCTCCGCCGCTGCTACTACTGCACCCATCTCCACCGCCGCCGCCGCCGCCGTCGTCGAAAGAGGGGAGACCGTTTGTCATGGGCCCTTGCGAGCGCCGACCGACCGCGACCAGGGGTGGCACCACCACAGGTACACGGAGATTCGGCGAGGCAAAATCGAGGTCCCCGCGGCCGCTCAAGTGGGCCGCGGCTCCGTCACGCGCGCCGGGAACGTCAGGCGGAAGCCAGGGCGCGCTGGGACTGTGGAACCCGGGGGAGGGAGAACCGCGCAGGTGGTTATCGTCGTGGGGGGAGGGGGAGGCGGACGGGGAAGCGGAAGAGGTTTGTCCACCCACGCCGTGCCGAGAATCGTGCGCGACCCCCCCGTGCCCCGCCGCATGCCCTGTCGCGCTCTCCCACCCGTGGGCATGGTGACGAGACGCAAATCCATTCGCTCTGACATCACCCCCGCTGTCTCTGCCCATCGCCGTCATTTCCCCCCCCCCTCCCGCCTCCGCCTCCAACCCGCGCACCCCCTCTCCGCCAGCTACCCCGCCCGCCTCGCCGGCAACTTCCCCGCGGCCCACGCCGTCCAGCGGCCAGCGCGGCACGGATTTCGGGCGGCCGTTCCAGTCGCGGAAGCGGTCGTTGAGCAGCACGGGGCGGCAGCCGCGCGAGTTACAAACTACAGGCATACCGTTCGACCCAACGTCCACACTCGTGAAACCCTCGCCGCGGTCCGACATGAACAGATACTGCCCCGGCCCTTTGCCCTTCATCACCCGCCCCGCGCACACCTGCCCGTGCCCCTGCCCGTGCCCGTGCTCCTGCCCGTGCCCCTGTCCGTACCCCCTATTGCCGCTCGCGTATGTTGTTTCTTCCGCCTCGCTGTCTGCCGTGTGAAAGCGAGGCTGTGAGTGTTGACTTGATTCCTTACTCGACATCCTTCCACGGATCGAGCTCCCCCTCGCATTTGTCGCCGCAGCACCACCGCCCGACACCGCTTGATTCCCCGTCGCCCGACCAACCACCGTATCTCCGTCCATGCCTCTCGCTCCCCCTACCCCTAACTCCGCTACGCCGTCTCGCTCACACAAGCCAAGCTGCCACCCCGAGCCGCTGAAATCCGGGCACACTCTCGTTCGCTGGCTTATCGCGTAACTGGGACCAAGCAAATCCAGGCCGTTGACTTTCCACGGATCGTGCAGAACGTCCAGATAGTCGTCCGATGCAGCGAGTGTGAGAGACGAGACTCGGGAAGCGACGGTTGCGGTGGAAACCGACGAACCTCCAAACGATGACGATGACGACGACGGTGATGGTGATGGTGATGATCTCGATACGGCACGTGTGGACACCGTTGCAGTCGACGATGCCGGCATGCGGTGACGTGAACTTAAACTCCTCTTAGATCCGGACCCGTCTGTTCCGGAACTGCTCCGGCTGGCTCGAGCGACTTGGCTCTGACTCTGAACCTGAACCTGACCCTTCTGTGACCACCACCATGGCTCCTGACGCATGCGCTCTGCTCCCCCCCGCTGCTGTCTACCCCCGCGAGACGGCTTTGCTCGTGTGCCATACGACGCTCTCGGTGCGGCAGTAGCGCCGTTGCTGGATAGAGCCGGCCTTGGGAGCGGCGGGGATGAGGACAGGGACTGGTGGCGCAACGGGCCGAGAGGCGAGACGGAGGTAACAGCAGCGAACGATGCGGTTAAGGAGAGAGTCAGGTCTGGTTCCGAAGCGACCCGGCGTATTCGGAAGCTTTTGTTAAGCTCCGAGTGGACATCTCGTGGGGAGATGTCAACGCGTAGACGAATGGAGGAGAATGATCGAGACATGTGGACGATTGGTCTTGAGAACAAGGTAGCACGGTTTGCTTGCTCTGCTCCACGAAACCCTCGCTGTGGCTTGGGAAGGAAGTTACAGGTTACAGGTAGAGAGGGAGATGCTGACTGCCGAATGTTTGCACAAAAAGGGAACTAAGGCCTCCTAAATAGTACTCATGTTGTCGATAAAACCATGCAGGCCAGCTAGCAAGTAATAGCAGCCGACAATACTCGGCTAACAACAGTGGTGGCTTCAAAAAAATCGTCGGAATGACTGGAGAAGCTGACGGAGAACCAACGGGGGATGAAGCTGGAATCAGTAACTGCGTAGGTGGCTGGAAAAAAATCCTCCGAAGGTGTAGGGCTAGCTTCTGGTAGGTCGTTGGGCTGGGGAATAATTGGAACGGAATCATGGAGGGAATGCCAGGGTATGGATGGGGCAGAGGAGAGAGAAGGGAGGGGACGATCAGGGAGGGACGTGAGGCGGAAAATATTTTTCCCCAGTTGTATTGAGCGAGGTTGAGTGGATTTGATCAGAGAAAGGATGCGTGTAGGTGAGCGACGTTATGCGTTGTTTCAGACGTTTTCCGATCGGTTTTGTTTGGTTGATGTTGGGGGTGGATGGTAGGGAGGTAAAAAGGGGGGGAGCTGAAAGATCAACCTAGGCGGGAGGAGGGATGCAGGTTTCTCGATCGTTGTGTGGCTGCGATGAGCCTCGAGATTGGGCGCGCAACAGTGCTGCAGAGATTTGGGAAGATACCATGGCGATGGAGCAGTGCATGTGTGGTGAGAACAACGGTGTATTGGCGGTGACGTGACATACAATTAACCCAATAGGAACGCAGATTCGGCTGCGGAGCGAGGGGTGAAAGGGTATGTGAAATATACAGAGAGATATGAAGCTGCTTGTAAGGAATTTCAGAATCCTTACCTGGCAGCACTGCTCGCGTACGCGAAGGTTCCAACTCGTTACAAATCACTCTGCCACAGCCTAACCCTCTCAGCGTACATAGTTAGCTCTAACTGTATATTTGCCTGCATGTAATGTTCTACATTCACTATCACAAGGTCGCAGTAAATACTTTTGCTGTCTTAGCGACTCTTATACTACTCCCACGGTATTTTGGTTATCTTCACACGAATATTAGCTTAAATGACACCAAGTGGCATTATACAGCCTGCCCTAATCAGGGTTCAGTATGTGTGGTGTGAGGATTAAAATATAATTAATTCCGGGTGTGCTGAAACACAAACATACTAGTTTTCGCAGCTGTTGTAACACGCTGCCGTGCTACGTCGCAACCCAATTGTGCTCATGGCCAATGCCAGCAGGGCTCCACCTGCCAAATAGCGACTCGGCCCGGCTGATGATGACTTGAAGCGGCTCGTCGAACCCTGGCCACACTCAAGAAGTTGCGGGGCACTAGGAAGATTGTGTCATTACGTCTCAGCCACATTGTGCCACTGGTTGTACAGGAAGATGACACATTGAGTTTCATTTCAAAAAACCATTCGCGCAATCCAGTCGGACAAACTATGCATCCACCGTTCAATCCAAGCGAGCACATCTGGGGTGCTGAATCCAACAGTGGATGTGGAAGCCCTTAGACAGTTTGACGGGGGAACGGAGGGGGACAAGAAACAACGGCGTACGATTAAGCCGTACAATTGTATGATTCGGAAAGCCGTACGATTCGCGATCGCATGCTTGCAATCCCGTGACTCCTCGACCCCTGTACAGCTGCACTGCACTACACTGCACACTCTCTCATCTCCATTCTCTCTTCAATGGAGTCCATGCTCCGTTTCGAGTCGCGCGCGCTCCCCCGCACCCCCTCCCCCCCGTCACCCACCCTCTGTTTCCCACATGCGACACGATTTCCGACTCGCGACGCGATAGTAAAGCTCCATCCAGAATCCAGATTCCAGCCCCTATTCTCCAACTCCTCACACGCCCTCATTCCCAATTCCTATCCAACCAAGCAAACACACACGGATTCTCACACGCCCCAACCCCAACATCCTACCGCCGCCATCAGGCTTGTTTGTTCTCACGCCACATAGTTGAACTTAACTCTTTCTTCCGTCTCGCGTTTGCCAATCCGCTTACATCAGGTTAAGCTGTTTCCAGCTCTCTGTCCTCCGCCAAAGGACGCCGTCGAGTGCGGGGCCTATAGTAGTGATTTTCACTAGTAGTTTATCGGTGGAATAAACCTTAGTTTGAGCGACTACTGGATTTGCTCTTTTCAGCAACAAGTAGCAGTTCACAAGTCGAGGAAAGTTTTGGAGGATGAGGATTGGACGGAAACAAGTATCTATCCCCACGGCTTCGCAATGGATAGCAGGTCGCCTCTTCTACTAGCTCGAAAAGAAACGCCAGACGATCAATTACCCCTAGTTGTATTAGCGTGCTCCCGGGCTCGACTCGAGCGATCTCCACAGCCCTCATGTGCAGTTGCTGCCCGCTCTCCACGCCACTTATTAGCACCAGAACTACCGGTACCACTACCACTCGTACTAGTAACAGCTACATTCAGGGGACGGACTATCCTCTTAGTAAGGAACCGTTAGTAGTAGTAGTAATAGTCTTCGTACGAGGTCTCACACTATCATGGGCGGCGCGAGGCCGACGAAGAAACAGGCGTTCATCAACAAGCTCCGCACGCCGCTGCAGATCGTGCTCACGTTCGTCGTCGGCCTGCTCATGCCGTTCGGATTCTACCTCGTGTGCGACGCGGGTCTCGGCATCGACATCGCGCCGTACTGCTACATCGCGGTCGTTGTCATGCTCGTCCTCACGGCCACCATTGTGTACATCGAGTGCTTCCTCGCGCTCTTTCTCGCGAAAGACCCGCCCGACGAGCCCGCCTCGCCGTACCCGCCCGCGTCCGCCATTATCGCGGCGTACCTGCCGAACGAGGCGGACACGATTCTGGAGACTATCGAGGCGTTTCTTCAAGTCGAGTATCCCGGGCCGCTGCAGGTGAGCCACGTGGCAGCCTCTGCCAAGCACGGTACGTTGCTTGATCATTTATTTTTCATGGGAAGGGGTGTGTGAATGGGGCGGGGGTTGATTGTATCATTGGCATGTCGTGGCGTGTTGTACCCAGAATATCTGGGAGGTGAAGATGGTGGTTGTGAGAATGGAAATGAGGCCGACTATTGACGTTCGGAACGTCATTTTCTTTCTCCGGCTTTTTACTACCTGAGAGGGGTGAACCCTCCTTTTTCGCCCTCTCTCTCCGCCTATTTAGTGAGTAAGGTCTGCCACAGTCTTGCTGGCAGCTAGCTTCTCCACACCTGCTCCCAAAGCTCGGTCCCCGAGGTCCCACTTGATGTCTCTCGAACGCCCCATCCCGTTTTGAAAGGGAAGCTCACGGCTTCGAAAGCATCGCTTTCCGAGAGGGAATAAAAGAACTTCAGAACCAACCATCCCTTTCCGGGGGAGGGGATGGGGGGAGAGGACGGCGGAAGGGAGAGCTTTGTTTCCGTACTCGTGAAGCCTTTGCTTGCACGATGACACGCTGATTCTACAACTTTACCCGCAACGGACGTCGCTAGCACTGATATGCGTGTCAAGTATGCCTGTACATTCAGCCGTCCTGCTGAATAGCTTGACGTGTACTTGTGACGAAGGCCATTTCTCCTCCCCCTTTATCCAGTTTCGCACTTAGATGGTACCGAAACAGCTCCCTCTCGGGACATGCTTCTTTCTCTCTCACACCTCTACCCTCCACTCTCCACGCTTTCTAACCCACTTCCCTTGCCGTTTTCCAGTTCAACTCACAGCTCTCTCAGAGGTCCTTAGATAACCTCGAAACGATCCGTAAACGGTGGCACGCCTCCCATTCCTCACTCCCATCCCACAATCCCATTGCATACTCCCCTTCCACGCTCTTTTCCATTCTCGCAACCACCATCTTCACCTCTTCTCCCATCCTTCCTTGCCCAGGTATTCCTGGATACTACACGCCACGACATGCCAACGATAGAATCAACCTCCCCCATTAACACACCCCTCCCCATTTCCACACTCCTTCAGGTTTCCACATCCCTCACTATTTCCACCCCCCTCCGTATCCGCACTCCTTATTCCCATATTCGTCCCCATTCTCACACCCCTCCCCATTCTCACACCCTCCCAATTCCCACTCTCCTCCATCCTCACCCCCACCCTTCGCAAGGTGCACGAACGCTGACTGACATGCCCGAAACGAAACCACTCTCTGTCCCTTTTCCTCTTCTCACTCCCACACTCTTTATTATTCTCCTCCCCACCTTTACCACATTAACGCCCGCTCTGCCCCTTTTCCTCTTCTCCTCCTCACCCTGTCCCTCCGCCTCCCCCGCCCCCTTCTTCAGCAGGTCATCCTGGTGCGCAACACGCTGAGCGACATGCCCGAAATCGGACCACTTTCCTTCTTCCTTTCCCTACTCCCACGCTCCTACCATTCCTCTCTTCACCCCTTCCCTCTCTCCCTCCCCTTCCCCTTCCCCCTCCCCCTCCCCTTCCCCCTCCCCTCCCCTCCCCCTCTCCCTCCACCTCCCCCGGAAGGTCATTCTGGCGGCGCACAACACGCTGAGCGACATACTCAAGATTGAACCACTCTTTGTCCCTACTACCATTTTCCTCCAAGATTACCATTCTCAAAATCACCATTTCAACACCCTCCTCTCCCCCCTACTCTCCCCTCCCCCTCCCTTCCCTCTCCCCCTCCCCCTTCCCTCCCCCCTCCCCCTCCCCTTTCCCCTCCCCCCTCCCCTCCCCCCTCCTCCCCCCCCGAAGGTCATCCTGCCGCACAACATGCCGCACGACATGCCCAAAGTCGAACCACTCTCTGTCCTACTCCCACACTCCCCACTTCCCACCCCTCCCCCTCCGCCACCCTCTCTCCCTCCCCCTCCCCCTCCCCCTTCCCCCTTCCCCCCCCCCGCCTTTCCCCCGAAGGTCATCCTGGCGTACAACACGCCGCGCGACATGCCCGAGATGGAGACCATTCTCGCGGAGATGGCGCGGCAGCGCCCGGACCGCTTCCTGGCGTACCGCGTCGTGCACTCGCGCTCGAAGGCCGAGAACGTGAACGCCGCGACGAAGCTCATCCGCGGCGAGTTCGTCGGCGTGTTCGACGCGGACCACTGCCCCAACCCGGATTCCTTCATGCGCGCATGGCGCTGGCTCAGCCACGGCTACGACATCGTCCAAGGCCACTGCCTCGTGCGCAACGGCGAGGATAACTGGGTCGCGCAGGCGGTCGCGGTGGAGTTTGAGACGATCTACGCCGTCGGTCATCCGGGATCGGAGATTATTCACGGGTTCGGATTCTTCGGCGGGTCTAACGGGTTCTGGCGATCAGGGTTACTAGCGCAGATAGGCATGGATGGATCCATGCTCACGGAAGACATAGACTCGTCCATCCGCGTGCTTCTCGCGGGCGGGAGGATCAAATCCGATCCAGGGTTGATGTCTTCCGAGCTCGCGACGACGACGCTGCGGCAGATCTGGAACCAGAGATTGCGGTGGGCGCAAGGGTGGTTCCAGGTGTCCATGCGGCATTTCTTCTCCGCCATGGCGTGCCGAAACCTGTCGGCCTTCCAACGGTTAGGGTTGTTTCACCTGTTTATTTGGCGGGAGATCTACCCGTGGATTTCGATGCAGATCCTGCCGTTGCTGGCGTTTATCTGTTATAAAGCGAACGGGTTCGGCGGGATAAACTGGCTGGACGCGGTTTACATGTGCACGACTATCTTTACGTTCCTCTGCGGGCCCGTGCAGCTGCTCTTCGCGTTCCTGAAAGGCAGCCGCACGGTGCGGAAGCACGGGAATTGGTGGCTGCTGTACTTAGTGTTCGCGACGCTGTTCTACACGGAGTTTAAGAACGTGATTGCGCGCGTGGCGCATGTTAAGGAGTTCATGGGGGAGAAGGCGTGGATGGTGACGCCGCGGATGGTGTCCATGCACCGCCAGGCGCTCGCGGAGCAGCGGAAGCGAGACTTGCGCGTGATGGTTGAGTGACAGTTGGAAGGTGATGGCTGGATGTTGGATGATGGATGGTTGTTGGCTGGTGGTGGGGGGTGACTTTTGAGTCTGTGACTCAAGGGTCAATTGGCTGAGAAGAGGAAGAGAGACATCATACACGGCTGTAATGGTGGCTGGAAGATGGTAGTTGAGTGGTGACCGGATGATGATGGGTGAGTGATGATGGTAGGATGATGGAACAGCGGTGGTATTGCCGATGGTGATGTTGGTGGTGTTTGTGGGGGTGATGAGGGGGAGAAGGAGGCGGAGGAGGAGGAGGAGGAGGAGGAGGAGGAGGAGGAGACAGGCAACGACAAAGACAATGCACTGCACAGTACCACCCCTGCTGCTTTTGGCTGCTGCGCATCAGAGCATGACGAGCTCTCCAGTTAATCCCGATTCCCGATTAATAAATCACTTGGACCAAGGCCATGCGTGACATGCGTTGTCATGTCACGCCTCTCCCGCTCTGCACCCATCAGAGCCAATAAGGCCGTCCGTCCAAGCAGCGTCTTAGCCTGCAGCTGCAGCAGCAGCGCTGACTGCACCGAAGACAGAACCGGCATTGCAGCACGCCCGGCACGAGCGGTAATAGCAGTACAAGCAGCACGTGGGAAGTACGGTAGGGGCAGTGCGAACGACAATGGTGCCGGTACGGTAGTAGAAACAGGATGTCAACAGACAATGGTTGCACTCCATTCATTTGTGGGTTCTATTGCTGCTCGTGGTGTATCTATATTTATGACTATTTTGGGCCGGTCTTCTGCTGCTTTTGAGTACCGTAGGGGTATTCCTTGTCATAGCTACACGAATGTGTCCGTAGGGACAACAAACACCAGCACAGCAGATGAGAGCACAGGAGCAACACCACCACCACACCTCACAGCAGGCTGGTTGAGCAGGCAGCATAACACAAAGCTCCGGTAAACAGCCGGCAAACCGGCAACGGATTGCAAGGAGCAGCAATTGGTGAGGAGAACCATCACACTAGGTCACAGCGCCACTGGTGCGAGGGAGTGTGAGGTCTCTATAAAGTTTTCAACGCAAGACCTCCCAGTGACACAGTCCAAGTACGGACTAGTACAACGCACTTCAAACTCTCTGTCATGATCCGTGCGCTGTTGTGAGTCGTGACATGCAGAGCAGACAGGTGTGGCATGGAGGAGTGGAGAGATGCAGAGACAAAGAGATGGGAGAAATAGTGCCATATCAACATCCGTAGTGGTTTGGTAGTAGTAGTAGTTGCACCCATCATTATCACAAGCAGAATTACGGCACTACGGTAACCTCCCAAAGAATTGAAGTGCTGCTACCATACCATTATGTCTATTGAACAATACCTGTAACATTGGGACACTGTAATATTCTATGAACAGCAGCGTTTGGGTCATAAGGTATACTTGTACTGGTAGGTAGTTTATCCCAGCGCTACTTACACGGCAAGGCTAATCACAAACGGTTGCTGGAAAATCATATGCCTCTTTTCCCCACACTACACTGCCGCGGTGGCAGTCCAGTCCCGTTAGCCTACACCTATCATTCAGCACATCAGTCACGCAGGAGCAACTCCAATACAGCCAATGGAAGCCCCCCCGATCCAGCCACCTGCTCCCGCTGTTGCTGCCACTGCCGCTGCCACTGCCGCTGCTGCTGCTGCTGCTGCTGCTGCTCCCCCTGCTGCGCCTGGTCTTGTCCCCCCTGCTGCAGCTGCACCTGCTGTCTGGACCCCCCGAGACTGTTCCCTTCGGTCTCCCTGTCCCCGTTCCCCTCACCAGCACCACTCCTAGCACCTCGTGCTCCCCCCCTCGGCTCCTCCCCATCACCGCTCCCCGATTCCGGTCTCCCTGGCGCTACATGTACTCTGGCAGCAGCAGCAGCAGCAGCAGCAGCGTCGCTGGCAGTAGCATCAGCAGCAGCGCTCGCAGCAGCAGTAGCATCAGCAGCAGCAGCAGTAACGTGAGCAGCAGTGGCAGGTGCAGCAGCAGAGGAGGGGTGCAGCAGGAGGTTCTGCAGCAGCAGCGCCCGGTGGTGCTGCCCGGAGCGGGAGAGCAGCGCAAGGAGCGTGCGGTACGTCATGGCGTCCGGATGCACGCTGGGGGGAATGGCACAGGAGGGGGGGAGGCCACGAGAGTGAGAGAGAGGGCGTTTGAGAGCTCTCAAAATTCAATGCAGCGCAAGGAGCGTACGGTGGGTCATGGCGTCCGGATGCACACTGGGGGGAATGGTACGGGCAGGGGGACATGAGAGGAGCATTTGAAATTTATTTTAGAGTCAATCCAGCGCAACGAGAGCGATAAGTCACGGCATCGGGACGCACCCTGGGGGGAATAACATGTGCGGGGGGGTGGGGGGGAATACCACACCACCACAACCACACATATCCACCACCACTGCCCCACTCACCCTGCATCCAGCATCTTTGCGTACACCTCTACCCCTCTCCTCCACCCTTTCCCACTCCTCTCCACCTTCTCCTCCCTCACCCCATCCTCCTTCTCCTCCTTTTCCTCCTCCTCCCACTCGTCCTCCTCCCAAACCTCCTCCCCCTCCGAACTCCCTTCCTCTTCCCACTCGCTCTGCACACCCTCCCCATCCCCAAACTCCCCCGTTTCAACCTTCCCTCCACCCTTCCGCCCCTCCTCTCCACAATCCCCTGCCTGCAACCGTGCTTGGTCTAGCAACGGCACAGCCGACCGAGAGGAGTCAACATCCTGAGGCCTCATACTGTCTGAGCCATTCGCGCTGCGTGCGCTGCTTGTGCTTCGAGACACATCAGAACCCAAGGTAGGAGGAGCGGGAGGGAGCGGCGATGGCTTTTGGGACAAGGAAGGTGGCCTCGATTCATCCGGCAACGAGGCCGTGAGGGGAAGTTGGGCGGAGGAGGATTGGTCAGAGAGGGTAGGGTGGGCAGTGGAGGGGGCAGGGTGAGCGGAGGGGTTGCGAGGGGTGGAGAGCGTGGAGGAGGGGTTGGAGGGTGTGGATGGCGTGGGGTGGAGCGAAGGCAGAGCGACTTGGGACTGCGTGGTGTGTTGGAGCAGCGAGCCGAGCACGAGGTTGAAGGAGAGCAGGTTGGGGGGCACTCCGCACGCCAGCATGTGATCCAAGAGCTGCCGCACGTGTGGTAAGTGCAGGGGGGGGGAGGGGGAGGGAGAGGGAGACAGGAGGGGAAAAGGTGAGAGGGCAGAGCGACTTGGGACTGTGTGGTGTGGTGGAGCAGCGAGCCGAGGACGAGGTTGAAGGAGAGCAGATTGGGAGGCACTCCGCACGCCAGCATGTGGTCTAGGAGCTGCAGTGCATGGGGTAAGCAGGGGGGGAGACGGAGTGGGAGAGGGGGGTGGGAGGACAGGTGTCGCGGGTGAGAGGATGGTGTGGTGGAGCAGCGAACCCAGCACGAGGTTGAAGGAGAGCAGGTTGGGGGGCACCCCGCACGCCAGCATGTGGTCTAAGAGCTGCTCGCATGCGGTAAGAGGGAGGGAGGGAGGGCGGGTGAGGGAGGGTGAGGTGGTGGGAGGGGGTGGGAGGGGGTGAGAGGGCAGGCGACGAGGATGGGAGGGCAGGAGATGGGGTGAGAGAGTGGGAGAGGAGGGTGAGAGCGGATGCTGGAGGGGGGTTGGATAGGATGGATGGCATGTGGGCGTGCATGTGCATGTGGGCGCGTGTGTGTGTGGGTGTGTGGGTCTATGTGTGTGCATGTGCATGTGCATGTGCGATGTGCATGTGTGTCACGAGGTTGGAGACGCATGCCATGTGTGTGCATGTGCATGTGCATGTGCATGTGCGATGTTTCCGTGCATCATGCACGCACGCACGCACGCCTGCCAGCCAGCCGGAAATGGAAAGCGAGAGAGATACGCACGCGTGCACGCAGAGGAGCAGCACACATTTGAAACTCATCACAAGCAAGCAGCACTGTGTGCACTGACTGACCTGCATGCACGTGCCCGCCTTCCAAGCAGCAGAGAGCGGCTTGAGTACCAAGTTGTATGAATGCGCGCACGTTGCTAGCTAGGCACAGATAGAGAGCGATACGTGCATGCACCGCGTGCACTGACCTGCATGCACGTGCCCGCCTTCCAAGCAGCAGAGAGCAGCTTGAGCACCAGGTTGTATGAATGCGCTGAAGCCACGAGACCCCATGAGGGGATGCTCCGCAGCACCTGATTGGTGGAGGGGTAAGAGGGAGGGAGATATGGCACTTGGGGTCATGGCGGCATGGGGTCATGGCGGCATGGGGTCATGGCGGCGGCATGGGGTCATGGCGGCATGGGGTCATGGCGGCATGGGGTCATGGCGGCATGGGGTCATGGCGGCGGCATGGGGTCATGGCGGCATGGGGTCATGGCGGCATGGGGTCATGGCGGCATGGGGTCACGGCGGCATGGGGTCATGGCGGCATGGGGTCATGGCGGCATGGGGTCATGGCGGCATGGGGTCATGGCGGCGGCATGGGGTCATGGCGGCATGGGGTCATGGCGGCATGGCATGGGGTCATGGCGGCATGGGGTCATGAGCGACTGGTGGCAAGGCAAGCCTCTGCATCATCAACCAGGACCACAGGGAGGACGCCAGCGATGAGCGACAGCGAGAGCAACAAAGATGGTGACAGACAGCGACAGCATGAGCTGAGCACGCGCACAAGCAGTGGCACCCCAGGCCAATGGCACATGAGCGCCAGCATACACACACTCACTCACTCACTCACTCACTCACTCACTCACTCACTCACTCACTCGCCCACTCACTCACTCACTCACTCACTCACTCACCCACTCACTCAGTCACTCACTCACTCACACGCTGCTCTCACCCCCCTCCCACCCCTCACCTGCAGTGCCTCAGCAGTCATGCCTGCCCGCGCCAGTGTGCCAATGAATAAGTTAAACGTGCGCATAGAGACACGCAGGTAGGTAGGTGACCAGGTGTGCTTAGAAACCCCACCCCCACGCCTCACCAGGTGTGCTTAGAAACCACCAGCCTCACGCCTCACCAGGTGTGCTTAGAGACCAGGTAGGTAGGTGACCAGCCTCACACGCATCTCCTCCACCCAACCCACCCCCACGCCTCCTCCACCCCACCCCCACCCCACCCCCACGCCGCCTCAGCAGGTGTGCTTATAGACAACCACCAGCCTCACACGCATCTCCTCCACCCAACCCACCCCCACGCCTCCTCCACCCCACCCCCACCCCACCCCCACGCTGCCTCAGCAGGTGTGCTTATAGACAACCACCAGCCTCACACGCATCTCCTCCACCCCACCCACCCCCACGCCTCCTCCCCTCCCTACTGTGCCCTTATTGACTCGACTCAAAACACGCTGTGCCCTCACCTGCAGTGCCTCAGCAGTCATGCCTGCCCGCGCCAGTGTGTCAATGACTAAGTTCAACGTGCGCATAGATGATAGGGACCGGCATCACACGCGCATCTCTCCTCCACTTCTCGCACTTACTCCCCTCCCACCCCTCACCTGCAACGCTTCAGCAGTCATGCCTGCCCGCGCCAGTGTGTCAATGACTAAGTTCAGCGTGCGCATAGAGACACGCCGCACACGCATGTCTTCCGCTCCCATACCCCCTCCCCTCCCTCCTGCGCCCTTCCACTCCCCCCCCTCACCTGCTCTACCTCCCCCCCCTCCTGCTCCTACACCCCCTTCTTCTTCTTCTTCTTCTTCTTCTTCTTCTTCTTCTTCTTCTTCTTCTTCTTCTTCTTCTTCTTCTTCTTCTTCTTCTTCTTCTTCTTCTTCTTCTTCTTCTTCTTCTTCTTCTTCTTCTTCTTCTTCTTCTTCTTCTTCTTCTTCTTCTTCTTCTTCTTCTTCTTCTTCTTCTTCTTCTTCTTCTTCTTCTTCTTCTTCTTCTTCTTCTTCTTCTTCTTCTTCTTCTTCTTCTTCTTCTTCTTCTTCTTCTTCTTCTTCTTCTTCTTCTTCTTCTTCTTCTTCTTCTTCTTCTTCTTCTTCTTCTCTTCTTCTTCTTCTTCTTCTTCTTCTTCTTCTTCTTCTTCTTCTTCTTCTTCTTCTTCTTCTTCTTCTTCTTCTTCTTCTTCTTCTTCTTCTTCTTCTTCTTCTTCTTCTTCTTCTTCTTCTTCTTCTTCTTCTTCTTCTTCTTCTTCTTCTTCTTCTTCTTCTTCTTCTTCTTCTTCTTCTTCTTCTTCTTCTTCTTCTTCTTCTTCTTCTTCTTCTTCTTCTTCTTCTTCTTCTTCTTCTTCTTCTTCTTCTTCTTCTTCTTCTTTTTCTTCTTCTTCTTCTTCTTCTTCTTCTTCTTCTTCTTCTTCTTCTTCTTCTTCTTCTTCTTCTTCTTCTTCTTCTTCTTCTTCTTCTTCTTCTTCTTCTTCTTCTTCTTCTTCTTCTTCTTCTTCTTCTTCTTCTTCTTCTTCTTCTTCTTCTTCTTCTTCTTCTTCTTCTTCTTCTTCTTCTTCTTCTTCTTCTTCTTCTTCTTCTTCTTCTTCTTCTTCTTCTTCTTCTTCTTCTGCTTCTTCTCCTCCTGCTCCCCCTCCTTCTCCTCCCTTGATCACCACAGCAAGACCAGCGTTCCCAGTAGCCACAGTGCCATGTGCCGGTGCATCAGTCCCAGCAGTCCCATCAGTCCCATCTCCACGCGAGTCTCGTTCAAACCTGCTCCCCTCCCCTCTCCATCTTGCCACTTCTCCCCTCTTCCTCTCTTCCATCTCCCCTGCGGTCCCCGTTTCAACCCTATCCGCCTCAACCCTATTGTCACCCCTATCCATCTCACCGCTTCTATTCTCCCCTCTCCTCTCCATTCCACCCCCACCCCTGCTGCCCCGACCAGCAACATCCCGCTCCCCTCCCCCCCACTCCTCCACCCCTCTAAACCCACTCCACTCCTCCATTCTCTCCCCATACCCATCCGAATCGCTGCTCCAGCCACTACCAATGCTGCTGCTGTTGCTGCTGCTACCACTGCCACTGCTGACAGCAATGCTGCTGCCCTTACCATCACCGCTCACACCACCACCGCTGCTGCTCCAGGCCCCTATCGCCCCACTGCCCGCCAACTCTCCTTTCCCATCCACCCCAACTGCCCCCCTCGCCCCTACTCGCACTTGTCCGGCTGTCATCTGTTGGTATAATGCCCATGCCTCTGCTCCGTTCCGTAGTCTGTGGAGTGGAGAGGAGCGACAGAAGTGGCATGCGGGGGGGTTAAGGAACGATGGTTCGTGAAGGAGGGTGGGGAGCAAAGGAGGTGGGGAAGAGGAGGAGAGGCAGAGGTAGAGGTGACGGTGAGAACAAGGAGAGGGAGAGGAGGACGGTGAGAGCAAAGATGCAGAGAGAGAGAGTGAGTGAACATGAGCAAAAGAGTGGATGCTGTGGGGGGCTGCAGATGCTGTGGGGGGCTGCAGATGCTGTGGGGGGCTGCAGATGCTGTGAGCGTGCAGATGCTGTGAGCGTGCAGATGCTGTGAGCGTGCAGATGCTGTGAGCGTGCAGATGCTGTGAGCGTGCAGATGCTGTGAGCGTGCAGATGCTGTGAGCGTGCAGATGCTGTGAGCGTGCAGATGCTGTGAGCGTGCAGATGCTGTGAGCGTGCAGATGCTGTGAGCGTGCAGATGCTGTGAGCGTGCAGATGCTGTGAGCGTGCAGATGCTGTGAGCGTGCAGATGCTGTGAGCGTGCAGATGCTGTGAGCGTGCAGATGCTGTGAGCGTGCAGATGCTGTGAGCGTGCATATATGCTGGTTGCTCGTGAGAACAAGTTTTGAGACGTCTCACAAGCGGGCAAGAGCACGAGCGATAGAAAGAGCAACGGCGAGAGAAAGTGCATGTGAGCAGCAGGGGCAGGCAGCGGCAGGTTACCTGTTGCAAGCAACGAGCATTGCGCTATACATACACCACTTCAGGGAACACGTCCATGCCCAACGGTGACTGTTGAGCCAACTCAGAAGTGCATGTGAGCAACAGATGCAACGGCAGAGGCAGAGGCAGGGGCAGGGGCAAAATACCTGTTGCAAGCAACGAGCATTTCGTTGTACACCACTTCTGTGAACACGTCCATGCCCAACGGTGCCACTCCCCCTCCCCCCTCTCCCCCCACCTCCTCCTCCTCCTCATGCTGTTGCTGCTGCGCTCGCTGTGCCTCAGCAGTGACCATGCGAGCAACCTGCAAGCACCGAGCGTGCCGCTCGCACAGGTTAAGTGCACGCAGCAGAGCTGCAACTGCCACTGCGTCTGGTGCCACCCCCGCTGCTCTCATGCGCTCAAATATCGCCTCTGCGTCGTCCGGTGCTCCTGCAATTCGAATTTGCGAGGGGTGGAAGGAAGGAAGAGGTGGGAAAGAGGGAGCAAGATGTGGGGAGAGGGAGGGAAGGAGAGGGGGAAGAGAGGGGAGAAAGGGGAGAGGAGGGAGAGGAGGGTGAGGGATGGTTGGAGAAGGAAGAGTGAGGTGTGCTGGAGGGATTGAACACGGATGCGCACATGGGACGAAGAAGAACAAGAGCAGATGGTCATGCACTGCAACGTTGGAGCTGCAGCACCGCGCAGTGCACTGCCTGCTGCTCCGTGCACGGGCGTTGCACGAGGTATGCAGAGACGCATGGATCGATGGATGGATGGATGGATGGGAGGACGCCGTGTGATGCGATGCGATGGCATGCCATGTCATGCCATGCCATGCCATGCCATGCCATGTCATGCCATGCCATGCCATGCCATGCCATGCCATGCGGTGCAGTGCAGTGTGCGCACCTGCCCTGCCAGCAGTCTCGATGAGGCATGTGAAGGTGACCACGTTGGGCGGGCATCCCAGTGCTGTCATGCGCTCTAATAGCACATACGCCTCTGCTAGCATGCCCTGCTCTCACAGGTAGGGGAGAGAGGGCGCAGGGAGAGGAGAGAGTGCAGGGAGGGGAGAGAGTGCGGGGAGAGGAGAGGGCACAGACATGTCAAATAGACTCCAGCTCACTGCCTTGGCATGTGCATCGATGAGCGATGGAGTGTGGCTTTGAGATGGGTACAGCACAGACTCCACCTCAAACGCAGACCCCTGTAGCGTGTGCTGCAAGATACCATGCACCATCTTCCCACATGCACTCACCGTCTTGGCGTAAGCATCCATGAGAGACGAAGCAGCCTCCACAGTGGCGCTCATGCCCCGCGGCTGCATCTCCTCAAACAACCCCTCCGCATCCCCCACCCATTGGCACGGGCGGGCAGACGACTCACTCACTCACCACCTTGGCATATGCATCCACGAGTGACGAAGCAGCCTCCACCATGGCAGTTTCAAAATTCTCAAAAGCGATACAGACATAGCAAGGCCGACAGCCGCAAGCTCAAACCGCCTCAAGCTCACTCACCGTCTTGGCATACGCATCCATGAGCGAGGAAGCAGCCTCCACAGTAGCACTCATGCCCCGCCGCTGCATCTCCTCAAACAGCCCCTCCGCGTCCCCCACCCGTCCCTCCTTCCCCGCATAGTCCACCAGCACGTTGAACGTGATCTCGTCCCACTCCACCCCCTGCTGCACCATCCTCTCCGCAATCCTCGCCACCTGCGCACCATCCCAAAACAACCTCAATCCCAAACAGCCTCAAGCTCACTCACCGTCTTGGCATAAGCATCCATAAGCGAGGAAGCAGCCTCCACCGTGGCGCTCATACCCCTTCTTTGCATCTCCTCAAACAGCCCCTCCGCATCCCCAACCCTTCCCTCCTTCCCCGCATAGTCCACCAGCACGTTGAAAGTAATCTCGTCCCACTCCACCCCCTGCTCCACCATCCTCTCCGCAATCCTCGCCACCTGCGCGCCGTCCCCCGCTCGCGCAGCCACCCACAGGAGCGCGTTGTACGTCGTCGTGTTGAGCTGCACCCCCGCTGCTTCGGCCTCTGCGGCCAGGAGTATAGCCTGCTCGGGGCGGTTGGCGCGCCCGCACGCGGCGATGAGGGCCGAGTAGGTGACGGCGGTGGGGGCGACTTTGGTGCCTCGGCGCGCGAGGAGAGAGTCTGGGTGCGCTCGGTACACTCCCCTCGGGCTGCTGCTGCTTTTGTTGGTAGTGCTGCTGGTGGTGTTTCCTACTGCTGCTGTGTTTGTGCTGCTGGTGGCGCTGTTGGCTATGCTCTTGCTCAAAGCGCTGTCGCTGATGCTGCTGCTGCTGCTGCTGCTGCTGCTGCTACCACTGCTGTCGCTACCACCAGCCACACCCATCCCCACCTCTCCATTCACTCCCCCATTCACCCCTCCCTTCACCCCGCCTCCCACCCCAACTCCCCCATTCCCCGTTCCTGCACCCCCGTTCCCTGCCCCCACTCCCCCTCCCACTCTCCCCGCAACACCCAACCCCACAGCTTCCATCTCAGCCTTAACCGCGAGAGCCTCATCTAACCTCCCCACGCGCCCAAACGCGTCAATCAGCGCGTTGAACGTCACCACATTGGGCGAACAAAACCTCCTTCTCATCAGCGCCAGCACCGCTGCCCCATCATCCGGGCGCCCCGCCTTGCTGTAGGCGTTGATGAGGGAAGAGTATGAGACCACGTCGGGCTCTATGCCGGCTTTGCGCATGGAGTCGAAGACGGTGCGGGCTTCTCTGTGCATGCCCCACGCTGCATATGCGTCCAGGAGCGTGTTGTAGGTTACTCGGTTCGGCTGGATGCCTGTTCCCACGCCCCCCCCTCCCCCTCGTCCTCCCCCTCCCCCAGCGCCTCCCTTCCCCCCTGCGCGTCCCCCTCCCCCTGCGCCGCCTGCCTTCCCCCCTGCGCCGCCCCCTCCCCCCGTCCCCCCACTCTCCGCCAGCATACTATCAAACAGCGCCTGCGCCTCTCTGTGCCGTCCACTCGCCGCCAGCGCATGCAACACAACATTATAAGTCACCAGATTCGGTCTCCACGCCGCACCGCTCCTCACCCCGCCCTTCATCCGCTCAAACATCCCCAGCACCTCGTCAAACTCCCCCAGGCGCGCGTGGCAGCAGAGGGCGATGTTGTGCGAGATCTGATCGGGCCGCGCGCCGGGGAAGCTGCCGGCGCGGAGGCGCGAGAAGAGGGAGAGCGCGTGGCGGAACTGCTGGGCGTTCTTGAGCGCGGTGAGCAGCGTGTTGTACGAGACGATGTCGGGGGCGACTCCGTCCGCCTGCATGCGGTCGAACATGAGAAGGGCCTGCTGCCACTGCCCCGTGCTGCCACACGCGTTGATCAGCGCGTTGTAGGCCTCGCGGCTTGGGGGCACCTGGGGGGGAAAGGGGGAGGAGGGAGGGGACCAGGAAAGGAGGGAATCAGATGGAAGGGACAGGAGGGGGAGGGGAGCAGTGAGGGAGAGGGAGAGGGAGAGCGCGTGGCGGAACTGCTGGGCGTTCTTGAGCGCGGTGAGCAGCGTGTTGTACGAGACAATGTCGGGGGCGACTCCGTCCGCCTGCATGCGGTCGAACATTAGGAGAGCTTGCTGCCACTGCCCCGTGCTGCCACACGCGTTGATCAAGGCGTTGTAGGCCTCCCGACTCGGGGGCACCTGGGGGGGAAAGGGGGAGGAGGGAGGGGACCAGGAAAGGGGATTGGATGGGAGGGGACAGGGTGGTGAGGAGACCAGAGGGAGGCGCGAGAAGAGGGAGAGCGCGTGGCGGAACTGCTGGGCGTTCTTGAGCGCGGTGAGCAGCGTGTTGTACGAGACGATGTCGGGGGCCACTCCGTCCGCCTGCATGCGGTCGAACATGAGAAGGGCCTGCTGCCACTGCCCCGTGCTGCCACACGCGTTGATCAGCGCGTTGTACGCCTCGCGACTCGGGGGGACCTGCGGTGAGGAGGGGAGGGAAGTTTGAATCGACTCAAAACACACCTGTGCTGCCACACGCGTTAATCAGCGCGTTATAGGCTTCACGACTCGGGGGGGGCTGGGTGGGGGTGGGGGTGGGGGAGGACAGGTCGAGGAGATGGGGGCAGATGGGGGAGAAGGGGAGAAAACCGGGAAGGGAACCGGATGGGGAATTTGTGGAAGATTGTGGAAGATGGGGGGAAAGGTGAGGGGGCCGGAAGGGAAAAAGGGACCAAAAGAGAGGGACTGAAAGAGAAGGGAAGAGAAGGGCTGGATGGGAAGGGGACTAGAGGGAAGAGTGAGAGGCAGAAGGTATGAGGGAGGAAAAAGAAAATGCAGTAGAGGGGCGGCATTGAGATGGGTGGGATGGGATGGGATGCTGATGAGAGGAACTTTTGAGTCGACTCAAAAGTCAGCTCAATGAGATGGGTGGGATGGGATGCTGATGAGAGGAACCAAAGAGAAGAGTAGCTAATGTGAAGCGAATAGCTTTTGCACGGAATGGGCCAAGGGAGGGAGGCCACCTTGTCCCGCAGCATGGAGTCGAAGGTATGCACAGCCGCCTGCCAGTCACCCATGCAGCCGTTTGTTGTAGACATGTTTGAGAAAAAACGAAGACAGAGGCGAAACAAGCACCACGAGGCAGGGGCGGGGCGGGGCGGGGCGGGGCGGGGCGGGGCGGGGCGGGGCAGGGCTGTCACCTTGTCCCGCAGCATAGAGTCGAAGGTATGCACAGCCGCCTGCCAGTCGCCCATGCGCGCGTGCGCGGACATGAGCGCAATGTACACGTGCACGTCCGGCTTGCACCTGCACATGCGCGCGCAGGGCGCGGAGGGTTGGGGGAGGCGCGGGGGAGCAGAGGGGGTGGGAGAGAGAGGAGGGTTGGAAAGGGAGGAGGGGAGGAAGGGAGGTGGGAGGGGAAAGAGGAAGGGGTGAGCAGGGGGAACAGAAATGGGGGAGGAAGGGGAAGAGGAGGGTATACACGGAATAGGGAAGGGTTAGTGGGGTGGGAGATGAAGCAGGGAAGAAAAGAAGGGAAAGTTCAGAGGAGTGAGCAGCAAACAACGTGATGACATAGGTGGACCATAAGTTATATTTCTATGATGCGCCTGTCCTGTGATAGATGCTGTGATAGATGCTATGATAGATGCTATGATAGATGCTATGATAGATGCTATGATAGATGCTATGATAGATGCTATGATAGATGCTATGATAGATGCTATGATAGATGCTATGATAGATGCTACGATAGATGCTTGATTGATTGCTCATGATCAAAAGAACGTGTTGGTTTGCGAGCACGCATGTGCGCGATTGTTCACGTTTCCAGCAGAAATGACACCATTCGCGTTTGTTCAGAAATGACACCTGCCGCCCGCCTTCTTCCCTACTCCTCGCTATTCTCCTTTCCCCCTACCCTCTCCCCCGTCCCCCGCACCCCGTCCCCCGTCCCGTCTTCCCCCCCCCCTCCCCGCCGGCCCTCACCACCACTCCAGCATCTCGCGGAAGAGCTCCCGCGCGCGGTTGACTTTGCGCGAGCGCGCGGCGAGGTGCATGAGGTGCGAGTAGATGGGCGGCTGCGCGCGGTAGCAGCGCTGCGCCTTCATCCACGCGAACACCTTGAGCGCCATGCGCAGGTCCCCGTGCGCCGACACGGCTTTAATCAACGGCAGGAACAGCTTCCGGTTCTTGCGCCCGCTCCACCGGTTCAGCACGCCGTCCACGTCATCCCAGAAATTCAGCCGCATTACGCGCTCCACCACACGATCCACGCTCTCATCGCCTACCCCCCATCCCCGCTCCGCCTCCTCCGCATTTTGCTTCCCCTTCCTCCTCTTCCGAAGTTGCGACCTATCAACCCCCTCGTACGCTTTCCATTCCTTGCGCGCCCTCACAGCGCTCCCACTGCCGCCCGCTTCCAAAGACTCCCCACTCGCCTCGTTTGCCCTATCTACACCTTCTCGAAACCCTGCGGTAGGCGCTAGACTCCCGTTCCCCCCATCTCCGCGCCTAGCCGCGTCGCTAGCATCAACCGCGCCATCATACCCGCCAACAAAGTTTTCCCCGCGATTCGCCCTATCACCTCCACCACTTTCCCCGCGCCTGCCCGGGCTGTCAGCCCCGCTGCTCCCGTCATCCTCTACCCCTTTCCCCCTCACCCAACTCCGCTCCGATCCGCCCCTTCCGCTCCCCGTGTCCTTCCCCAAGCTGTCCTGCGTTTCCGCCCGCGGACCGCTGTTGGGCGCGGCATGCGCTGAAGCCGGGAGCGCTGCGGGGGGAGGAGGAGACGCTCGAGCAGATGCGCGGTAGGGCGGCGGAGAGGGTGGGGATGGCGATAGGGATGATAAGGGCGGGCGGAAGGATGGGAATAGAGCGTTCGGAAGAGAATGTAAGGGGGCAGAGGAGGGAGAAGAAGACGAGTGAGAGGGAGGAGAGGACGGGGAGGAAGGGGAGGCTGGATGTGGGGGAGGGTTGGCGAAGGAGGGAGCGGAAGAGCAGCAACGTAAGGAGAGCGCGCGAGGGGTATGCGGGGTAAGAGGCCGCGGCGGGAGCTGCGCGCCGGCGGTACTGCGGAGTAGAAACCCGGAAGGCTTTTGTGAATTCTCAAGAAAAAACTGATAGCTGGAGCGTGAGCGCTGGGTGTGACGGACGAGGGGCGACCGGGCAGTGCAACGGCGGAGAGACACGAACGCGCTAGATCCAAGGATGCGTGGCGTATCGAAGCGCGACACGGGGAAGGGAGGGGCTAGTGCAGAGGCAGAGGGAGCCATGGAGGCGAGTACTACAAGTTGACGGGAGAAATTTGAAAACGTAACGGGAATTCATGCGAGGGAGTGCCTAACGGGAACGGATCGCTCAGATTCCAGCTGTTCGTCGCACATCCTTGTGGGACGAAGATAATATGCCGCTTGCCAGTGCTTTCCTTGACATACAGCGCAGCGTTTAGTGAGTGGGCGCGCAGGCAGCTCGCTCAACCAGCAGCCGTCCTGGGTCGGGGAATTTCACTTCTTTGCGAGTTCCTGATTAGTTTGCATATCAATTGTGTACGCTTGTGTGCTACTGTACTGCGTTGGTACGTTCCTGAAACGAGGACATCCGATGTGGCATGAACAGGTGATCTATCAAGATATCGTGTAGCCAATAGCCAGTGCACCAACTTCGCTGGGGCAGATCTTTCTGTCAATCAAGCGCCTTCGCCATCATGCTTTTGATTATGCTACAGTAAAGAAATAAGGCATTTTTGTACAATAAGTCTTGAAGAGTTTGATGTCTATTTTTACTATAATTAAATTTGGCGGGAATGAGCTGTCAGTGATTTGGGGCACACACAGAGATCCCCTCATAAATTTAAGTCTGTGAAAGGATGACGGGTATTGACTGTATAAAATCCGAATTTCCATCATGTAGTGTGATGAAGCTTGGGTCCTGGGCAGGTTATGTTTTGAGAGTAATAAGATTCAGCATAATACGAATTTAGCCCTAGAAAGCTATTGCCCTATAACGCGTTTAGCCATGGAATTTGACTTTCGCGCCTGGCTCTGCAACGTGTCTTTCGTTTCGCCCACGCCCAGCCTCTCACAACGTCTCCCGCCAAAATCCGTTCAATACCGCGACTCGGTACTCCCAAGCCCACACCTCGGGGTCACCACACCACCAGCAGCATAGAACAGCACAGCAAACATTTCCCTCCCCTCTGCGTTCCCCATTTCCCTCCCTCCCCACCAAGAACACACTTTCGCTTTCGTCCATTTCACTCTCTCTCTCCCTCTCTCTTTCTCGCCCTGACTTTCTTCCCTCGACATCATCCCACCCACCACAACACAACACACTCAACTCATCCGCACGCCGCCTAATTTGCGGGTTCCCAGTGCTTTGCGCGACACGAGAAACCCACACGGAAGCCACAACGTGATGCTTCTCCTGCTCTCTCTCATCGTCATCGTTACTGTCTTGCTTCTGTTGGCTTGCAACATCAGCACCAGAACATAGCGTCACACTTTTCTTCTCCAAAAATCGCTAGACTTTTTGTCCTTCCTGTTCTTATCGAACACCCCTCATTGTGCATCCTGTGCCCCCAAGGAGTAACAGTAGCCCCAGGTATTACCTATCTCTCCAACATTTCACAACCAGGCCACGTTCCGTGATACATAGTATAGTCTGCACCTCCGTCCTTTTTTTTGTAACGTCAACCCACTCGCACTCTTAGCATCTCATCCAGAGACCGTTTGCCATACCATAAACGAAAGCACGTATTGGGTAATATAACCATTTGCTACGTTATCGGCTCATAGAGCGAAGCGCGAGGCAATGGGTAAAGGAGGAGGCTGCTTTCCCAGCAAGAGCAATACTAAAAAACCCGACGACGCAGTCCCACCTGCTGAACCTCCTGCACCAGAACCAGCTGCTGCTGCTGCTGCCGCTTCAGCCGAGCCAGCAGCACCACCAGCCGCAACAGCAGCAGAGCCAGCAGCAAGCACGGCTGAGGCTGCCGGTGCGGCCACTACCGAGGCGCCCAAGACTGAAGCGGAGGCGCCGCCGGAAAGCACCACCCCCGCAGCGAAACCTGCTGAACCTGTGGCTGCGGAAGGTTCAGCTCCTGCTGCCCCCGTTGCAGCGGAGGCTGCTTCGGTAGAAGAAGCACCGGCTGCTGCAGAGCCGGTTGTAGCAGAAGCAGCACCAGCTGATGCCGCAGCCGCCGCCGCCGCTACCGAAGCAACGGCACCATCCATCGAAACCCCCGCGACTGGTAGCGGAGATGTTCCCAGTGCTGTAGCTGCTGCCGACACAAGCGCACCCGAAGAAACTCTCGCACCAGAGTCCGGGCCTTCAGCCGGTCCGGACGCCGAGCCTGTGTCCGAGGCTGCAGCTGCCCCCGCCGCAGAACCCGCCGAGGCTATTCCCGAACCTCCTAGCGCTCCTGAAGCAGTTGCGGAAGCGCCGGTGGCGGAAGCTCCAGTGGTGGCGGAAGCTGCTGTTGCGCCAGCGGCGGTGGAGACGGTGGAAGCGGGCGGCAAGGGCGAAGAGAAGGCGGCAGAGGGGCAGGAGACAGCACCGGCGGAAGGTATGCGCTAAAACAAGAGACGGTTCAGTTAGTCGTGCTGGGTAGTCCGTTGAGTCTATAGGTAGTCCTGGCCGTGTAACGGGAGGAGGATGCACGCTTATTGACGGTATATATAGGCTGTCAATATCGTGCTTTCTTTGAGCTTGGGGGTTCTAGTGTTTTGCAAATGAAATGTACACTTAGCTGAGGTGCATTGTAGTAAAGGCGAAAACAATAGCAGGTCCGAGAGACGTGGAAGTGGTCGCAGAAGTGGATGCAAAGTAGACGTAGACGTGCACGTAGACGAAGGCGTACGCATGACAAGTGGTGACTGTCACTTTCGTTTCCTCCATGCTTGCATTACGCATCTCATCACTGTGCCAACTTCCCGCGTGCGGCCGCCCGTCCGTATCGCGGCCCCTGAAAAGCTCGTCTTTCTCTCCCGCATCCTGCGCTCATCCCTCGTCCCATCGTGCGTGCGTCTGTTTGTTTGTGTGCACCCCGCCCTCAATGCCCTGCAGTTGTGCCTCCGTCATCCGACACGGTCAAGGTCTACATTGTGTAAGTCGCCGTGCCGTGCCGTCCCGTCCCGTGCCGTGCCGTCCCGTCCCGTGCCGTGCCGTCCCGTCCCGTGCCGTGCCGTCCCGTCCCGTGCCGTGCCGTCCCGTCCCGTGCCGTCCCGTCCCGTGCCGTGCCGTCCCGTCCCGTGTCGCGCCGTCCCGTCCCGTGCCGTTCCATGCTATGCCATGCCATAGATCCACCAATCGCTTTCCTCTGTCATTCCCTTATTCAAGCAAAATCAGCCAATCGCGTGGGTTCCGTCATGCCCCACGCAGCCAACTCTCTTTCTCTCAACCGCCACCTCTGCCTGCCTCACCAATTTTCCTTTCCGCCTGCCCACCTGCCCACCTGCCCGCTGGCTCCTTGCTCGTGTGCGGTGCAGCTTCTATTCGATGTACGGGCACGTGCTGACCATGGCGCACAAGATCAAGGAGGGCGTCGACAGCGTCGACGGCGCGCAAGGCTTCCTCTTCCAGGTGCTCACTCATGCTCATGCTCCCCCGCCCGCCTCGTCCGCCTGTTTCCCGCATTCGTCCTCGCCGAATGCATTCCCCCAGTCCTCCGTTCCGCGCCCCTCTCTTCCTTCCCCCCCCCCCTTTCTCCTACCCTTCCCGCTCACGCTCCTTTTCCCGCTCCCGCACCCGCACCCGCTCCCCGCATCCCCCCCAGGTGCCCGAGACTCTCCCCGACGCGGTCCTGGCGAAGATGGGCGCGCCGAGCAAGCCGCTGGACATCCCCGAGATCACGCCCAAGGCGCTCTTCGAGGCGGACGCCATTATCTTCGGCTTCCCCACGCGCTTCGGCATGATGTGCGCGCAGATGAAGCAGTTCCTCGACGCCACGGGCAGCCTGTGGCGCTCGCAGGCGCTGTCGGGCAAGCCTGCGGGGTTCTTTTTCAGCACGGGCACGCAGGGCGGAGGGCAGGAGACCACTGCGTGAGTGCGGGGAGCGGGAGGGGGAAGGGGGATGGGAAAATGGGGATGGGAAGGGGGGAGAGAGGTGGAAACCAGGTGTGCGTCGGGGGGGAATGGGAGTGAGGGAAGATAGTGGTGTGGTCTGTGCTGCGAGTACTGGGAATGTGGGCGTTCGAGTAGTGGCTCTTCATTGGTTGTTCACCAAACAGTGAGGCCACTTTTCACACATCCATTCACCACAGAAATATCTTTGCCAATTTTCTGTCCCGACCATATTCACTCTACCTACACACCCACAGAAGCCACTCGCCCCTCTCAGTTCATTTCTAGCCCCCTCCCCTCCCACATGACTCCATAGCATGAACACCACGAGCCGTGTCATACATTATGCCAGCTGCTACACACGCACCTTTCTAAAGAAAGCGCTTTGTAACGGCCTCCTCTTCCCAACCCGCTCACCTCACCTTCCCCCTTACCCATCCCCCCTCCCTCCTCCCTCTCCGCTCCCCCCTCCCCATGTATCCCTCCTTCCCGCTCCATCCTCTCAATCCCGCCCCAAACCCCCACCCCCATCGACCCCCCTCTCTCGGTGTCCCCCAGGCTGACGGCCATCAGCCAGCTGGCTCACCACGGCATGATGTACGTGCCGGTGGGGTACACACCACCGGTACGCACCACGCCTGGCGTACCCGGGCCTCTTCAACCCCGAGGTGCACGGGGGCTCGCCAGCACGAGCTTTTCTACAGCTACACCTACCAGAGACTCTTCATACTAAGCTTCCCACCCCCCCCCTCCCTCTCCACCTCCTCCCTCCCCTCCCCCCCTTTCTTACGCATTCTCCCCCTCCCTTCCCATGTACCCTGTCCGCCTCCATATCCCCCCTTTCTCCCCTTTCCATCCCCCCTGTATTCCCCAGGCTAACGGCCATCAGCCAGCTGGCGCACCACGGCATGATGTACGTGCCGGTGGGGTACACGTACCAGGGCCTCTTCAACCCCGAGGTGCACGGGGGCTCGCCCTACGGCGCCGGCACGTATGTGGCGGACGGCAGCCGCAACCCCAGTGAGCTGGAGCTGGAAATGGCGGCGCACCAGGGCCGGCTGACTGCCATTGTGGGTGCTAAGCTCAAGAAGGGATCGCTGGCTGAGGAAGCGAACGAGGGGAACTGATTGAGTGGATTGGGCGAGACGGTTGTGAGAGAGAGGTATGGTGCTGGGAAGAGGGAAGGTGTTGGGGTGGGAGGGGAGGAAAGGGCAGGGTGCGGGTAGGGGTTGGATGGAGATAAAGGTAAGGTGGGGTTGGGGAAATTGGGGTGCTTCTGTGATGGGGTGTGATTGGGGAGTGATTAGAAGGAGAACATGTGTGCTTTGGAGTAAGCTGAGAAAAGAAAGTGCCAGTTGCTCTTTGCAGATTTGGTGCTGGAACAAATTTGGCATGTTGCAGCAGATATTAATCAGTAGTGAGGAATGCTTAAATGAGGATGGTATTCTAACAAGCCAGCGGAGCAGTTATTGCCCGCTTGAGTTTTCTAACTCGGGCAAGGCTATCATGGGTAGGCTAGATAGAACAAACCTTCTTTTATGATTGTGAAATTGATGGTTGTTATTGTAAAATGCATTGGTTGCACTTCAATTGTTATTAATTAGCCACACGTTTTTTGTGAACTGACTGTGTTGCCACGAGAGCTAGGCTCCTGCTGGTGGATAGTACGTTGAAGATATTAGATGAGTGCACAGCAATTGCAATAAAACAGGTCTAATTCCACACAATCTCTGCTTACTATTTTATACTACAGTTCCTTTCCATCGCCAGCAAAATCTACCCAGACCCTATCCAAGTCAGGATAGTTTCCATGGCTGGGAATAAAGTGCACGAGGCTCCCCGAACTTCTGTCATGCGCATTCCATACACCATTTCGACAAAAATGGTGGTCATGACGGTGGAAGAATCCCCTCTAGAGTGTGTGGATGATCTGCTCGTGAGTATGCCACCAAGGCAGCTTTTCCTAAACCAGCTTTCCTTCATCTTGGCACATATTACCTAGGTGGGCTGGAATTTCCAGATTGCCTAGGCAGTCGGGGCTGCTGGGGATTTTGGAAAATAATGACGCCGCCTGCAGCACGCCCGTTGCCGCCGACAAGATGTTGCCCACCTGCCTTCCTGCTCCGCTGGACTGACGCGGGGTGGTTGCATTGAAAAGTTCATGTGCCAGCGTCAGCTGGCGCTCGTTCCACGCAAGCGAGCTGCCCGTGGGCAAACAAACTAAAACCCCTTTAGCGAGGGATGCCCGTGTGAACTTGTTATTTCCTCCCTCTAGGCCCGTCCTCCCTGATTGTTCGTGTCAAACTCTGGGACTAGGAAAAGCTACATTTACATGAAAGTTTGTTGAAGCCCGGAAAACAATTTGCGTGACACGAAACAACCAGCAGCAGGAAACAAGTGGAGCAGCAGTCACTTTTCTGCCAGCGAGGCAGAAAGTGGCCGCACCCAAACGAGATCCGCACAAGCCAAACCTCGAAACACATCTATACAGCATTATGCTGATTACAGTACTACTTCAGATTCCACAGACGTACACCTCTCACTCGCCTGTCATGAAAATCGCGTGACTGCTACGGGCTGGAAAAATAATGAATGTGTACTTTTCTTCCTAACCTACTAGGTGACTGCTCCAGGCAGTAGCCAATCTTTTTCGCCTCACTTACCTCAGTCCGTGACTTGTACGGAAATTTCGTCCCACGCAGAATATGGATTCCTTCCATTCCAGCCTAGCCATGCCAGCAGCGTGCTTTGCGGGAATGCTGCTTCTACCCTCCAGACCATCCTACAGATCAGCATGATCAGGGTGGCTGTCTGTTGTGGAAGCAGAAAATCTTTCTGCTTGCTTTCGCAGCTTGCGTCAGATTGCTTGTGGTTTATATGTGATCCAATGAAGTGGTCCAAGCGTGTTCAAGTGAACGACTTCATCCTCGCCTCAACCATCGTGGAAAAATATTGAGAGTTCACAACCGTCAGATTTCTCAAAGTTCGCACATCTGAGGGCTGACGTTTGTTGACATTTGTTTCGTCGTTCACCCTAAACACGTTTTTGGAAAAGTGTCAATGGCTGCAGGGCTCCGGCGGACCTATGAATGAATGCCCCTGAGCAAATGTGAGGCCTGTTGTACCTCCAGACTTAGAAGTCGTCCAGTAATGATACCAAGTCGCAACTAATTCAGCACCCTGCACTCGTTGTAGCAACCAGCGCGTCATGCAGCTCTCTCCCGCTCTCTAGCAACCAACTGGACTCTCTTAGTCCCTCCCTCGCTCTCTCCCGCTCAGGTAGCAGTAGAATCTTTCATCGTGGTGACGCTTGAGTCGACTGAAAAGCACACGCGGGCTTCCATATGGAAAGCGTAGCGCAGGCACACGACAGGATCCTCTCGCAACCCGTCGAACCGCGCCGCTTTTTCCTCGTCTCCACGCGACCCCAAAGGCCGCCTGCATCAGCGGCGGTCGCCGCGGATTCCGCGGACGGGCTGGCGGCGTCAACGGTGGGGATTACTTCCCGCCGTGGGCTGTGCCACGATGGCGCGGAACAGCCTGCTCCGGGCGCGGCACTGCTGGGAACGCGGGGGGATCATGCCGCAGCGCGGGACGTGGCGGCGGGTGCGGAGCGGAGAGAGCGCAGCGCGGCGGAGCAGGCGCAATCGGACCTGTGCGGCCAGTCGCGGGTAACGGCGACCGGCAGAACGAACGGGGCTGAGAGAGCGGGGGAGTCGCGGGGGGAGCAGCAGTCGGCCGCGGCGACGGCGGAAGCCTGGCCTGGGGTTGCGCGATCAAGCCGCGACGATGATGGTGGCGCGCGGAAGAAGCGGAAGAGGTGAGGCCGCGCGCAGAAGCAGTACGAGGAGCTGTAGTAGCTTGATGTGTGTTTTCTTGCTGCGACGCGTTTATTCCCCTCACATTCTCCCCGCACCTTCCTTTCCGCGCCTCCCCTTGCGCGCCTCCCTTCCGCCCAGTTTCTGCAGCGCGGAGCCGTTCAGTCTTCCTGCACTACTGCTGCCCCGTCCCCGGAACGACTCGGATTCAGCGTGTCTAACGTCTGCGACGACACCGCCTCGGCGTCGGCAGCGGCTACCATCCGTCCCTTCCTCTGCTGCTACTGCTGCTGCTGCTGATGCTGATGCTGATGCTGATGCTGCTGCGAGTACCTGCACGGCCATCCGTCAATCCCTGCCGACGGCCGACGTGGTACCTGCACGGCCTGAGACCCCCCCCCATCTCGCAATCCCACGCAAGTTTCCCCCGACTTGCGCCATTCCCCTTGCAGCCACCCGCCTCCCCAGCCGCTACTATCCCCGCAACTCGCGACCTCCCCGTCGCGCCTCTCGCGCGTTTCCACCCCGCAAACCACGCTCCAGCTCGCTGCGGCCACCGTGCCCCACACCCGCCCCACCGCCCCCACCACCCCCACCTGCCTGACCGCTCCCCATCAGAGGCATGATCATGATTTCCCCGCTAAGAACCCGTTCGGATCCGCGGAGCTTCCGCGGAAGCTGGTCATTCCCCCGCTCCGCCCGCCGCAGGTGCGCTACTCGCGGCCTTCCTCCGCCGTCTCGTCGTCGTGGGACGTCCCCCCATTCTCCACCAAGCGCCAGTGCCTCCCCGCGCGGATCGCGGGAGCGCGCGGAGGTTCCGCGCGTGGGGAAGCACTGGACGGGGGAACGAGGGAGGGGGGTGGGAAAGGTATGGGAGGGGTATGGGAAACGTGTGGGGACGAGGATGGGGAGGGGGATGGGGTCGATGGGAGTGCTCTGGGGGACACATGGGGGGAATGTGATGGACGGACGGAGAGGGAGGGTGGAGGGGCAGAGGAGGCGGAGGGGGGAGTGGAGGAGGGGATGGTGGGGATGATGATTCGGATAGGGGAGTGTATGGGTATAAATGGTGATTTAGGGTTGGTGTCACGATCAGAGGGCAATGACATGGATGGTTGTGAAAGCAGACGAGAGCCGATGTGTCGCAGGCAGGCACAAGAGGAATGCCGGCATTATCACCAGCATAATCAGCAGCAGCAGCAGCAGCATCTCTTGCAGCAGCAACACTGCTCCTTGTACGGCGGCTGCAGCAGCAGCAGCAGGCGAATAAGCAGTGACGCGGGCAGCTCTGGCACCAGTGAGGCCGGTGGCAAGGAAGCAGCAGAAACGCCTGCTAGCGGAGCATCGGCAGCAGAAGCAGCAGCTCGTGCTATGACAGGAAGGGGGTGCGGTGTAAGGGGTGATGAGGAAGGAGCAGGAAAACGGCAGTCAACAGTGAGACGAGCGAGGAGGAGAGAGATGGGAAGGATGGTGTTCACTCAGGATGATTTGCAGCTGCAGCTGCAGGAGCACCACCACAGCCAAAACGAGCTATTTTCGCAATGGAAACAGTGGATAAAAGCAGGAGCGGAGAAGGAAGTGGAGGGTGGTGATGTCGGCATGTTTATGAGAGAGCCTCAGAGATGCCCCGAGTTTGTTCTCTCTTCCGGGCGATCGCTCTCCTTGGGCAAAACCGCCACCTCTCCGCCCTCCATCCCTCATCCCTCCATTCCATGCGGCTGTGTCCCTTCACGCACACGCCATGTCTCTCAGTATTCATGCTGCCGTGCAGACTGCCTGATCCAAGCAGCAAGGCCGTTGACTATTGATGGCGAGTTTGAGCAATTCTTTTCTCAGCTGTTCCTCTGATCCCAGCTATTTGGCATCGTCGTGCCAACTGGGGGAAACTTGAATTGCCGTTTAGGCACAACCTGGGGTAATCTGTTGGTGCTGCTGTGTTTCACTCAAGTTACCTCATCCATCATTGGCTTGAGATGTACATTAATTATGCCTGCATTATACTACAGATAGTGAGTTGGTCCACTCCGATGCGGTAAAAAAATATTCGGAAAATACACACGGAAAATGCGTTTGCCTGCCTAACAGAGGGGATGGAGATAATCAGAGATGGGATTTGGCTTGTCAAATTGTGGTCGAATGTTCATTCCCCTAAACCTTTGTATATTTCTTTTATCCGTAACACTGCGTCGCCCTCAATGTCTAGGTTCGTGAATGTCGGTCTGTTCAGAAGCAGCATCCCCCCGTACGACGTGGCGGCCCGTGAAGACCACACAGAATCCAAACCGGATGGGACGTTCCCGAGGCACTCCCAACCAGATTGCTATCGGTAGCCTCGTTTCTCTCTAGAAACCTGGTGTGGAGCCTACCTAGAATCCAGACCAAGGTCTGGCTTTGTGCGTCAGCCCGAGGCTTCTCTTCTCCCGAACATCCTTTCCATACCTCCCACCTGTGCATCAAACCAAACATACCCGCGTTACAGAGTCCCCCTTGTTCGATTCAGGAGGACTTGAAAACCTGCTCCGCTCTGCTGCCTACGGGAGAAGCATTCACAGTTCACTCACCTGCCGCCACTCCACTCTCGTTCGTGCACTTGGCTTGCTGGCTCTGCTTCAAGAGTTCAGTCGCTTCGTGTTTTGCCTGTGTACTTCCGTTACACTCTCAATACACCTCTTTAGCCCGCAGCAGCAGCAGCGGCGGCAGAGACACGTCTATTCTTTTCATCGCTGCTGTTATTCTGTTGCGTCTGCTGCGTCTCGTCGCTCTATTCCGCCTCTCGGTAATCTAGCGACATGGCGGCCCTCGCACGCTCAGCCACCGCCTTGTGCGGCGCCACGGGGCTCCACAGCGCAGCAACGGAGCCTCACCGTCGCGCTCACCAGCACAACCTCGGCGCGAACTCACCGTCAAACTTCTCCTTAACCAGTCGCTCCAGCCCACGCCAGCGACGCGGCTCGCGCGCCGCGCCAGTGACGGTCTCAGCATCAGCACAACAGCAGCAGCAGCAGCAGGAGCGAGCGAGGGAGGCGAAGGAAGTGGCGATGGACAACGGGATCGTGGAGGGGCCTGCGGTGCGAGTGCTGGGCAGCGTGATGACCGACGAGACGGTCCCCGAGGGCCACCAGGGGCTCCACGGGTTCCTGTACGGCTCGCAAGGCGCAGGTACGTCCAATATCTAGTCGAATTCAGCGGTTCACGGGTTCCTTACGGCTCTCCGTGCAGAGCGCCGCTGGTGATACGGGGAATTGGTGTCAGGATTGCGAGAATGCGACTAATTGTGTGGGAATTGAGGGAAGCTAGGTTTGGGAGGAGGGACAGTGGGAAACGAGGAAGAACGTGTTGTTGAGGCAGAGTTAGTTTTTTGGAGAGCATTGAAGGTCCCGGTTTGTGAAATTCTGTAGGCTTATGCATCCTCCGCCTCCCTCCTCTATCTACTATCCCCTTTCTCACTCCCTTCCCTCATGTCTCCCCCTTCTATTCTCTCTCTCCCTTCTCCTCCCCCCTCCCCTCTCCCCTTCTCTCTGTCGCAGACGTGCACGACGCGCCGTCGCAGTCGTACGCGTTACAGCAGGGCGAGGACGACGGGTCGCTGCAGCTACCGCTCTCCGACTACGTCGCGCGGCGCGAGACGCTCAAGCTCGCCGGAATCTACGCCGTGTACGACGCGGCGGGCGCGCTCCAGTACGTGGGGTTCAGCCGCAGCGTCGTGCTCGCGCTCAAGGGCCACGCGGCGTTCGTGGGCGCGGAGCGCGCGAGCAGCGTGCGCGTGCGCGTGTACAGCGACGCGGCGATGATCACGCGGGCGCGGCTCGAGGAGGAGCGACAGAAGTGGATTCCCGAGCTCATGGCCACGTCTGGTGCCGCTGATTCGCAGAAGCTTCCTCCTGGCAACAGCGCTGACCTGTACGTCTCTTGTCCTCAACCTTCGTCCTTCCACCCTCCACAACCCCCCACACCCTCCCCCACCACCCCCCTCGCCCTTCTCCCTTTCCCCATCCACCCCCCCTTCCCAAATTCTCGACTCACAACCGTCCTCCCTCGCTGAATCGTTTCCATTGAATGGATTGGCTCACTCAATGTTAGCCTCGTGCCATGTTGTCGCCGACCTCGGTTCTCACTCCGCTTCTTCCTCCCTCCCCTCTTCATCCTTCTTCCCCCTTAACCTCCATCCTCACTCTCCGCGCTCCCTTCCCCCCCGCTCTCTTCCCCCCCGCTCACCTTCATTCCCCCCGCCTTCTCTCCCCGCGCTTGCTTCCCCCTCTCTCTCTCTTTCCCCCGCGCGCGCGCATGGGCAGCGCGGAGTGGGAGGGGCCGAGCGGGCCGGGCACGGCGGCGATGAGCGCGGCGGAGGTGGCGGAGTACGAGGAGAAGAAGCTGAAGCTGCGCAAGGCCATGGGGGAGAACCTCGCGGACGCCGTCGAGGACGAGACGGAGGACGCGCGCACGCGCCGCCTCAACCTGCTCAGGGTGAGATCAGCAGACGAACGCACGCACGCACGCACGTTGCTTGCTCTGCCCGGACTGAGCGCACTTCTTGGCTTTCCTCTCCCCTCGTCCCCCTCCAACCCTTCCTTAGTCAGGTTTTCCTGTTTTGCCTTGTACCCTGCCATGCCCACTTCGTCTTCTCATCATCCCCGTCGCCTCGCATTCACTCTCCCCTCCTAGCCTTCACTTTCCCTCTTGTGCCCCTGCTCCTCCCACTCCTCCCCTCGACTAACCTCTCCTCTCCTCTCCTCTTTCCCTACTCCCTCTCTCGCTCTCTCTGTCTCTCCCATCCTTATTCCTCCCCACTCCTCTCAACTCCTCCCCACCGTCCCCTCCTCAACCCGCCCAGGCCACGGAGGGCGACGACTGGAGTTCAGTGATTGACAGACAGACAGCATCCACTCTACCCACAGACGGCCCTGCTGCTGTTGCCACTGCACCCGCAGCAGCGACAGACTCTTCTGCAGACACCATCGTGAGCCCGTTTGCACGGGGCGCGGGCAGCAAAGGAGGGGTGAAGGAGGAGGTTGAGATGACGGTGGCAGCGGTGGATGCGGCGTTGGAGGCGGTGCGGCCGTACCTCATTGCGGATGGAGGCAATGTGGAAGTGGCGGGCATCACTGACGGCGTCGTCTCCGTCAGGCTGCAGGGTAGGTGGTGATGGTGATGGTGGTGGGGGTTGCTGGGTTCTGGGTGGTGGCTGTTGGGCATTGGAGGCAGTGCGGTCGTACCTCATTGCGGACGGAGGCAATGTGGAGGTGGCTGGGATCACCGACGGCATCGTGTCCGTTAGGATTCAGGGTACGTGGTGGTGGTGGTGATATGAAGCTCTTGCTGGACCAATGGCTACACCTCCCTCCCCCACACACAATCCCTTGCAATCCAGCTTCCCCCTCTCGACCCGCGACATTCCTCGCTAACACAACGAACGTACACACCCATGACACTTCCTTTCACAGGTGCATGTGGCACGTGTCCCAGCTCTACATTCACCATGAAGATGGGCATAGAGGCGGAGCTGCTGCTTGTCTCTTCTCTTCTCACTCATCCTTCCCCACCATTCCTTCCCCCCCGTTCCCCGGTCCACTTCCGCCAACCCTTCTCTCACAGGAGCGTGTGGCACGTGTCCCAGTTCCACGTCCACCATGAAGATGGGCATCGAGGCGGAGCTGCAGCGCTGCTTCCCCACGCAGCTCAAGGAGGTGGTGCAAGTGGACGTCATCGACACCTCCGTCACTGTTGCCGTGAGTACTGCTAGATACATGCATCGCTCGCTGCTGCTATTGAGGCGCCTTAGAAACAGATCTCCCGAGTCCCCACGCAGCTCAAGGAAGTGGTTCAAGTCGATGTCATCGACACCTCCGTCACTGTTTTGGTGAGTACCAGAGCACAGCACAGACCACCTTTCGGATGTCTCGGAAGTTCCAAGGAGTCTTACACTTGCCTACTAGGGCCATGTATGTATGTATCCCTAGAGTACCAGGGCCATCAGTGGGTTTGGAGGGCGGGTGCAGGTGATGCTCTGACAGCATGAGACTATTCATCCTACTTTCACTCACTCACATCTCCCTTGTCCATCCCTCCCTCCTCCCCACCGTCCATCCTCAACAGGCGGTGGATGGGCATCTGGACATGCTGAGGCCGGCCATCAGTGGATTCAGAGGGCTCGTGCAGGTGATGCTCTGGCAGCTTAATAACCTTCTCTTATAATCACTCCCCCACATCCCCAATTATGCATCCCTCCTCCATCTTCCCTCCTTCTCCCAACAGGCGGTGGACGGGCATCTGGACATGCTGCGGCCGGCCATCAGTGGGTTTGGAGGGCGAGTGCAGGTGGTGGAAGTGAACGAGGCGGAGGGCACATGCCATGTGGCGTATGAGGGCCCGCCTACTGTCGCCATGGGCATCCAGGCTGCTATCAAGGACAAGTTCCCCACTCTGAAAACCGTGGACATTGTCGGGTTCACGTAACGAGCTAGAACGCAGTTGCCTGTTCGTGAAGTTTACTCTTGGTATGTTTTAGTGGTTGATTTATGCTGCTGTTGTAGCGCTGGCTTTTGTGTGCTGCCTTGATGAAAACACGGTGATAAATTCTCAAGGGCAACACCTGAAGTGATAATAATAAATCATGACCTCAGACTAGCCGGAGAGCACATGCCATGTGGCATACCATAGTATGAGGGCTCGTCACGTCACCGTTGCCATGGGCGCATCCAGGCTGCTATCAAGGACAAGTATCCCATTCTCAAAACCGTGGAGGTTGTGCGTTGTTGTGCCTGAACCATTCCATTCCAACCGTGCGGTGAGTGGGCGGCTCCCAGAGCATGAGCTGTTAGAATTACTAGCTAGGTGAGGATGTCGATTAGGTAAGGGAGGGGGATACAAGACTATCGAGAGTGAAATGTTGTACCCTCTAAGGAAAGAAACCTACACAACCTAGAGTGAAATGACGAGAACAATATATGTTTAGACACACCCCCATAGGTGAAGGAGGGGATAGCCAAACCTAACAGTGGTCACAAGACCAGACAAGCAAGAGAACAAGCAAGGCAAAGCTCAGGGTGGATCTCAAGGACACCACACAATCTGAGCACAAGCAGGCGGCCACAAGGCCAGTTCACATGCAGAGTTATAATAGCAAGGCAGTACACTGATCACAACCTAACAAGAGTAAACATGCAGGTATAAAGATATATAGCAGTGTACAACAAGAGCAAGTCAAGCAACCAGCAGGTGAGGCAGAGTGGGCACAAGCCCAAGAGCAGTGCTGAAACGCTGATGATCACCAGACCCAAGGGCCTTGGTGAAGACATCAGCAGTGTTGGCCCGAGAGGCCACGTAAGCAAGGCGCAGCTGACCACGCTGCTGCAGCTCACGCGCAAGGAAGTAGCGAAGAGCAATGTGCTTCGTTCTGTGCTCCAGTCTCTGCTCGCGACACAAGGCAAGCATTGCCTTGTTGTCGACGTACAGAACTGGAGGAGAACGAGGCCGCTCCCCCAAGTCGGTCAGCAGGTAGGTCAGCCAGCGTAGCTCCTGTGCAGCCATGGCCCCAGCGTAGATCTCGGCCTCACAGCTGGAGCCAAGCACAGAAGAAGAACGAGTGGACCTCCACGAGACAGAACCAGAGCCAAGACTGAAGGTGTAACCCTGTGACGAACGCTGAGTCGCCTGGTCGTCGGTCCAAGAAGCGACAGAGTGTCCTGTGAGTACCACTGAACCCTGTCCTCCAACCACGAGCCCCATGCCCGATGTACTGCACAAGTAACGCAGTACCCTCTTCGCAGCATCCCAGTGCACCTTTCGGTGTCTACCGGGTGCCACGTAGCGAGCCAGAAGGCTGAGAGGGTACGCGAGGTCAGATCGAGTGCACGTCATCAGGTACATGAGGCAACCCACAAGCTCTGGGTACGGACCACTCGGCTCTACGGACTCGTCCGAAGGTGGAGCTGAGAGCGAGTGGCCGGTAGACAGAGGAGTGGGCTGTGGCGAGGAGAACTGGAAGCCGAAGCGCTGAAGGACCTGGTGCACCATGTGTGACTGAGTTAGGGTGATGGTGCGTCGTGCTCTGTCCCGGGTGATCTGCAAGCCAAGATAGCTCCGCAGCTCACCCAGGTCAGTGCAGGTGTGTCTCTCCTGCAGCTCCGCCTTCACTAGGGCCAGTGCCTCAGTGTCAGCAGTAGCAAAAACCAAGTCGTCGACGTACACGAGGATGTAGAACGGCGGCAGAGAAGTGTCGGTGCGTAGAAGCAGCGACGGGTCAGCAGTCGAAGGAGCAAACCCAAGAGCCGCAAGTGTCGTCCTCAGTGTGTCGTGCCACTCGCGGGGCGCCTGACGCAGGCCGTACACTGGTCGCCGTAGGCTCCACTGGGTACCCTCAGGAAACGATCCAGTGAAGCCCGGTGGACGGCGCAACCAGATGGCCTCGTGAAGGCTACCCTGTAAGAAAGCTGTCGAGAAGTCGAGAGAGTGCAGCTCGTAGTCACGCTGAGCTGCAACGTGTAGCAACACCCGAAGAGTGGTCATCTTCGGGGTGGGGGAGAAGGTCTGAAAGAAGTCGACCCCCTCACGCTGACTGAAGCCTCGAGCAACGTAACGTGCCTTGAAGGCAGGCGGAGAACCCGGCGGCCGCTTCACCCTGAAATCCACATGCCACTGACGATGTTCGCCCCAGGTGGGGGAACCTCGTCGACGTAGGTGCCTGTGGACTTCCAGGAAGCTATCTCTGCGTCCATGGCTGTCTGCCACTGAGAGGAGTACTCACCCGAAATCGCCTCCCTGTAGGAGCGCGGGGTGGGGATGTTAAGTGCATCCGGGTCTCCCTCAGGGGCAAGCAGCATGGTCGCGTGATGGGGTGAAGCGGCAGCAAGGCACTCCAGCTCCTCCTGTCTGTCCTCAAGAACGTCACAGCCAAGGGCAGTACAACCAAGAGCAGTCTCACCCCCGACGGACGGAGGACAGGCAGGGACAGGGTCAGAGACAAGACTCGCAAGGTAGTCTAGGCGGTACACAGCAGCAAAGTCAACGAGCTCAGCTACTAGGGAAGATGCAGCAGGAGACGAGAACGTAGGGTCCGTCACAGCCGTAGCAAGAAGGCGAGTAACAGTCGGACTGGACGCACGAGCAAGGTCAGACGGAGGGTCAGCAACGTCAGGCAGAGAGGACGCAGGAGGTAACGGTAGGACAACACGCTGAGGAACAGAGGAAGGACGGAGTGTCATATCGTGAGTGCCGGGGACAACCGGAGCACGCTGACAACGAACACGAGGAACACGAGCACGGACAGCAGCTCTAGGCTCAGGCTCAAGGTCAAAGCTAGACTCAGGCTCTCAACGCTCAGGGGTGGAAGCACGAGTCTCAGGCTCTCGACGCTCTGTCAGGGACTCTGACTCCGCAGTGTAAGGAGCAGGAGCAGGCAATGGGGAGTGTGGTAGCAGCGGTGGCTGTGACTGGTCCGCCGATGGACACAGCAACGGAGGAGTAGTACCTGCCACAGGGAAGCCAGTAGCACCTGGCTGAAGACTGAGAAGGTGGCGAAGAGCACCAGTAGCTCCACCAGGACCTCCAGCACCTCCAGCACCTCCAGCCCCAGCAGCTCCAGCACCTCCAGCACCAGCAGCACCTCCAGTACCAGCAACACCAGCAGCTCCACGACCTCCAGCACCAGCAGCACCTCCAGTACCTCCAGCACCAGCAGCTCCACGACCTCCAGCACCAGCAGCACCTCCAGGACCAGCAGCACCAGCAGCTCCTCCAGTACCTCCAGCACCAGCAGCTCCACGACCTCCAGCACTAGCAGCACCTCCAGGACCTCCAGCACCCGCAGCACCTCCAGGACCTCCAGCACCCGCAGCACCTCCAGTATCTCCAGCACCAGTAGCTCCAGGTCCTCCGGTAGGAGCTCCGACGACACCAACACCAGAAGGACTCGCAGCACCCCCAGAGTCAGCACCCGAACTCGCAGCACCCCCAGAGTTTGCACCCGAACTCGCAGCACCCCCAGAGTCAGGACTCTCGGTCTCAGCACTCGTAGGCTCAGTACCCTCAGTCCCAGCACCCCTAGGCTCAGTACCCTCAGTCTCTGCTCCAGTGTCCACAGCAGCAGGCTGCAGAGGCGGCGAAGACGGCAGAGGTGGGAACCCGGGGGGGGGTAGCCAAACGAGGAGAGCGGGCACCCCCAGACTCACCACCCCCAGCCCCAGCTCCAGAAGTCTCAGCTCCAGAGTCCACAGCAGCAGGCTGCGGAGGCGGCGAAGACGGCCGTGGCGGGAAACCCGGGGGGGTCTGCAAGCGAGGAGTGCGGCGAGTGGTCGCCGTGTCGTCGGCGACGGCGTCACCCCCCTCAGGCGAGTCAGAGGAGTCAGAAGAGATCTCAACTGGCTCATCCAAGGGGGGTGGGTCTACCTGGGACACACCTGAGGGAGCAGGACCCTGTGGGGGAAGGGGGTCTACCGGGGGGGGACTGGTACCAGGAAGAGAGGTGCAAGGGGGACCGGGTGGGACGCGTGCGGGTGAAGTCGGTAGTAACAGACCGACTCGTTAAATGTGACGTCCTGAGAGGACAGAACACGACGCGAGGCAGGGTGGTAGAACTGCCAGGGTGGAGCGTCGGTGGGGAAGCCCAGGAAGACACAGCGGAGAGTGCGAGGAGAGAGCTTGCTCGCTTTGGTATCGCGAACAAGGGAGAGCGCGCCCCAGACCCGAAACGACGACGCATCACCAGGCTGTCCCGTCCAACGGAGTGTGGGCGAGGTCTCTGGAGCAGAGACACGGGGCCAGAGGTTGAGCTGATGCGCGGCGTATCGGACCGCAAACGGCCACAGGAAATGGGGAGCAGCCGCATGGATCATGGAGGTACGAGCAACCTCCATGATCAGGCCAATGCGACGCTCAGCGATCCCATTTTGCTGCGGAGAGGCCGGAAGCGTGAACGACTGGGTGATGCCCTCATCCTGGCAGAACGTCTCAAGGACGCCAGAGGAGAACTCACCACCCCTGTCAGAGTGCAGACGCAGGACTGGGAAGTCCTGCTGAAAGCGCTCGTGCAGCTGAAGACGAGTAGCACGGATCCAGGGGATCAAAACACCACTGACGTCCGCCTTGCGACGCAAGGGGAAGACGGTGGTGTAGCGTGTGTAGTCGTCAACAACCAGCAGGAAGTAGCGCTCTTGGTCCGTTCCACCGACGGGGGCCGGGCCCCACACGTCCAGGTGGAGAGTCTGCAGAGGAGCAGTGGTCGGAGGAAACTCGGAGGAGTGAGGAGCGGCGCGCTGCCGCCCCTCGACGCAAGGAAGGCACGGCGGCGCAAGCGAGCGCGGGAGGGGGGGCAGGGTCTCAGGGAGGCCAGAGACCAGGAGCCGGGAGTGCATGCCGCGCAGACGCTGCAGGGAGGGGTGACCAAGACGGTGGTGCCAGCGCTGAGTCTCGTGCATGAGTACTCTGCACGAGCAAGACTCAGCTAACTGCCCTGACGCAGACGCTCGACTCGACACAGCTACCTGACCTGACTCAGCCACCTGTGCAGACGCAGTGGTCAGTGTGTACAGACTAGACCCAGGCTGTCGAGTGAACGTAGCCAGGAGACGGCCAGTCCGGGAGCACGTACAGATCGCCACACGCTGCCCTCCAGGAATAAAGGTATCAACCCAGACATCCTGAATGGCAGCGTTGCTCACCAAGTTCGTCGAGAACGTGGGGAGGTGGAGACCTGACAAAGAGCCGGAGGGGACTGCTGGACAAGGGAGGACCGTGGAGGCTCTCGCAACCACTGGGCCCCCAGAGGGGTCAGCCAGTGAGACTGGGACAGGTGCTGTGAGTGGTGTGACTGTGGTGCAATCACGGAAGAAGCAACGTGACGCGCCTGAGTCAAGCGTGAAAGTGTGCAAGACCTCAGCTGAGGCAGGACCTGTGGTAGTAGACGCACTAGCACCTAGAGCGTCGGTAGACTCACGGGCACCTAGAGCTGCAGCATACTCACTAGCACCTGGAGCGGCAGCAGACTCACTAGCACCTGGAGCAGCGGTCCTAACAGAACGATAACCTCCACCACCAGGACGACCTCGCTGAATAACCCACTCACGAAGCTGCCGAGGGGTGGGGTCGTCCGGGAGAAGCAGTGCTTGCTGCTGTCCACCCCTGGCCGCAGCAACTGCCGCGGAAGTGGCCATGACAGACAGTGACTGTCAGGAGTAGTTCCAGCACCTCCAGCTCCTACTGCGCCAGCAGCACCTCCTGCACTCCCAGCAGCACCTCCTCCACTCCCAGTAGCACAAGTAGCAGCAGCAGCAGTAGTAACAGCAGCAGGGCGGTTCGGTGGGGCTGGGAGGCCGCACCTCCACCACTCCCAGCAGTACTCCCTCCAGCAGCAGCAGTAGCAGGGCGGCTCGGGCAGCAGCAGCAGCAGCAGCAGCAGTAGACCGAGTAGCAGTAGCTGTAGCAGCAGTAGGTGCAGCAGCAGCAGCAGTGACAGCTCAGGTTGGGCGGCGCGGCTCAGACAGGGCGGCGCGGTTCGGGCTCAGTGGCGGAGCAGCAGCGGCAAGTAGCAGCAGCAGCAGCAGCAAGGAGGAGCAGCTGCAGCAAGTAGCAGCAGCAAGGAGGAGCAGCTGCAGCAAGTAGCAGCAGCAGCAGCAAGGAGGAGCAGCTGCAGCAAGTAGCAGCAGCAAGGAGGAGCACCTGCAGCAAGTAGCAGCAGCAGTAGCAGGGTAGTGCAGGTGGCAGCAGCACTGCAGCAGCAGTTCAGGCGCAGCAGCGAAGCAGCAGCAGTAGCAAGTGCCGTAGTAGCAGCAGCAGGAGTAGCACTAGCTGTAGCAGTGGTAGTTGCAGTAGCAGCAGTAGTACTAGCTGTAGCAGTACTAGTTGAAGTGGCACTAGCAGTGACAGTTCGGGCTGGGTGGCGCGGCTCGGACACAGTGGCAGAGCAGCAGCGGCACGTAGCAGTAGCAGCCGGTGCACAGCAGCAGTAGGCGCGTGCGGGCTGTGAGCTAGCACCTAGGGGCGCGCAACAGGTGCGCGCGGAGCAGCTGAAAAGGAGCGCGCAGCAGGTGCGTGCTAGGGGCTGGCGGGCAGCGTGAGTGGCGCGCGCAGCAGCAGGAACGAGGGGGGACCGGGCGTAGGGGCTGACGGGCCGCGCGAGAGGCACACGGGGCAGCTAGGGCGCGGTCAGGGGGGGTCGCACGTGACTAGGCAGAAAAATCGCGCCTAGGGCAGAAAAAATGAACCGTTTCGCCCAGGGCACGTTCTCGCATTTCGTTTTTCTCCTAGGGGCGCGACTCGGGCAGTAGATCGAAATAGTAGTGGTGGGCCCTTTTAAAAAATCGGTCCTAAGGAGCTTTTTGCTCTTAATACCTTGTTAGAATTACTAGCTAGGTGAGGATGTCGATTAGGTAAGGGAGGGGGATACAAGACTATCGAGAGTGAAATGTTGTACCCTCTAAGGAAAGAACCCTACACAACCTAGAGTGAAATGAACAGAACAATATATGTTTAGACATGAGCAGTATCAGTTGCACAGATGGCTTTGCTTGCATGCACAAAATTGGCCCGCCTTGGGGAACTGGGGGATTTGTTGTGATCATGTGACTATGACGGAGGCCTGAGCTGGTATGAGAAAATACATAGTGTATTTGTTGTGATCATGCATCTCTGTGACCAATGACATGATGAAGCGAGCCAATAAACAGTGTGCATTAGTATTTGTCGTCACAATGATTAGAACCCATGAAGTGTACATTAGAGCGTGTTCCTATCCTCGTATCAAGACAACCTCGTATCAGGCTCACACTGAAAATTCCCCTAAACCCAAAACCTCTCGCTAGTTTTACCAGGCAAAAGGTACATTCTTGATACGAGGTTTCCTGATGAGGCCGTAGGAACACGCCCTTAGTATTTGTCGTCACAATGATTAGATTAGAACCCATGAATACCGTACCCACGTCCTACCTACCTCCTAGAAACACACATCCCAAGTTGTTTCGAGCTCACAGAAGTCAGAGGTCAAGTCTGCACAAACCAGCCTGCAATAACCGGCCGTACAAGGTACCGGTACCGTGACTCCCTACTTTGTAGTTTATAAACACACAGCTCCACTGGAGCCAGTCCGCATCATTAGTTGTGTTGAAGCTCACATCTACCATAACAGCAGCAGCGCAGCAGCTTCAAGTCAAGGGCTAGTCTTCCCCAGCATCTGAAACCTTTCCAACCACAACACCCATCGCACGTATGCCACTGCCATGCCCCTGCTCTTGCTCTGTGGCAGTGACCCTACCACCAACACGTCCTCCTCTCCTTCCTCGCACTCCTCTCCCTCCCCCCCGTCCCCCATGCATTTTGTTTCCACGGCTCAGCACATTCCCTCTGATATTCTCCCTCCAGCCTTCCCCCTGTTGCCCTCCTTGCAGCTGGGGATTTCCACCCCCACCACCACCACCCCCACCACCACCACCATCGCCGCCACCACCACCACCGCCACCACCACCGCCACCCTGCACAATTCCCATATCATTCCCTCCCGCACCGTTTGCTGCTGCTGCTGCTGCTGCTGCTGCTGCTTCACCAACACCATGACTACCACCAACACCAGCAGCAGAAGCAGCAGCATGAGCACCGTCCGAACCAGCAGAAGCGGCAGCAGATGGCAGGTTGTGCCTACCTGAGACACTTCCACCCGTTCTTGCTACCACTGGCTCCAACCCCCGCCGTGCCTTGCTTGGGGCACTCACTAGACTAGCTGCACTTACTACACTTGACGCAGCACTTGCAACACTTGCAGCACCCGAAGCACTTGGAGCAGACCTCACAGCACCATTGGCAAGTGAAGACCCAACCACAGGGCCATTGGAGGTGGAGGGAGGAGCACCGTTAGCAGAGGAGAGAGAGGAGAGGGGCACAACCCTGGCAGCAGCACGAGTGTTATCCAACCCTTGGTGTCTCTCCCCTGCTGTACTCCCCACAGCCTTGCTGCTGCTTGAAGGGAGGCTAGTGGAAGCAGCACTATTGGCAGAAGCAGGGGTGGTGCTGCTTGGGTGGTGGTGAGAGGTGGAGGAGGAGGAGGAGGAGGAGGAGGAGTGCGAGAGGCGGGTGTGGGGAGAGGGACGAGGAGGGGACGTGTTGCTGTGAGGAGGTGGGTGCGGGAGAATGAGGGGATAGGGAGGAGACGGATGGTGAAGCTCATTTGGAGGGTTGCTCGGCAGCAGCGAAACGCCAGCACCGGCACCACGACTAGCGCCGCCAACACCACCGGTAGCAGCAGCAGGAGAAGCGGAAGCAGCAGCAGCAGCAGCAGCAGCAGCAACAGCAGTACCACTGGTGGCGCTCCTGCCGCTGTAGCTACCACTCCCATTCACTGCTCCTGTACCCGCATCAACAGTAGCAGCAGCAGCAGCAGCAGCAGCAGAACCTCCCTCAGAAGATGCCCCCCTTTTCAGGCGCACCACTGCCTCTTTGCCCCCAACCTCCACCCCATCGAAACCCAGTCCACTCATGGGCCCACGGTTTGCTCTCCCCCCCTCCCCTCCTCCCCACCCCCCCACGCCCTCCCCCTCTCTCTCATGCACGCCCACATGTGCTCGGCGAGGGGAGAGAGACACAGTGGGACGGGGAGGGACGCGAGGAGGGTGCGGCGAATAGGAGAGGGAGGTGGTGGGGTGAGTGGGGGGGGAGAGGAGGAGTGAGGGAGTGGGGAGTGTGAGCTGGGGTGGGGAGGGGGAGGATTGGGGAAGAGGAGGGGGTTTCGGGTCAAGAGAGGGGGGGCGATGGGGTTGCATGATGAGGGATTGCAAACTGCTGCTGCTGCTGCTCCTGCTGCTGCTGATGCTGGTGTTGACGCGTGGGATGTTACTGTTGCCGTTGGCGGCGGCGGCGGCGGCGGCGGTGGTGGCGGTGGTGGTGGTCGCGGCGGTGGTGGCAGCAGCAGGAGATGCCGCATTCAGCTTCCCTTGAACCAGGGGTTGGCTGCGACGGGGTGTGGACTTTTGACTCACAGGCAGAGGCCCGGGCACAGGCATAGGCATAGGCACAGGCACAGGCGCAGGCACAGGCACAGGCAGAGGCACACCTTGGGAAAACAAGTTCTCGACTGCTCCCCATGGAGCAGAAGCAGCAGCGGCAGCAGCAGCAGCAGCAGCAGCCGGTGTGGTCAGGGACAGTTGAGGAGGCTGGGAAGGGTGAGGAGGGTGAGGGGCAGGTAATGAGAGCTGGGAAACAGAAGAGGGTTTCCAAGGAGAGGCGACGGGCACGGGGGAGAGGGAGGAGGAAGGTGCGGCAACCACTCCCGCAGCAGAAGCAGCTGCAACGGCAGCGGCGGCGGCAGTGGCAGCAGTGAGGGCGAGAGAGGAGCCGGGAGGCGCTAGCGAGCCCATGTGCTCAGATAGAGCTGACACGACTGCGCCGAGCGAGAGAGGGAAGCGGGCCGTGCGGAACACTCGCTGTGCGTATGCACGCCTGCTGCTGGTGGCCGTGGTGGTGGTGGTGGCAACACCGTCACCTGTACAAGCCGTTTGCGCTGCCTCTGCAGTTCCCCCTTCCCCTCCCCCTCCTCCTCCTCCTCTCGCGCCTTCTGTTACTGCAGATGCAGTGGCACCCAGCAGGAAAGCACCAGGAGGCAGGCCAAGGGCGAGCATGTGCTGTAGGGGAGGGCCTGAGTGGAAGAAGAGAGGAAGGTCCATGTCTCTGAGAACAGACTCGTCCACACACGGCCCTTCGTCGTCGTGTAGCCGCGCGTGAGCTGGCACCCTTGTTCTCCGTTGCCCTGTGACCATTCCTTCGGTTACACTCCCCACCCACGCACTCACACCTTCCGACACCGCTGCTGCGATCCTGCCTTGCTTTCTCCACGCCCCCTCTGGTGCAGCAGCAGCAGCACCAGCACCAGCACCAGCAGCAGCAGCACCAGGCACAGCAGAAGCAGCCGGACCTGCCTCTGCCCAGCCACTGTGCTGCTGCTGCTGCTGCTGCTGGCCATTGCTTGAGTGTCTTGACCGTCTTGACTTGTTTGACCGCAAGCCTGCAGCCTGGCGAACAGCAGCAGGAGGAGGAGGAACAGCACCGCACTGCACCGCACGAACCGCCCATGCCATCACCTCGCCTCCAACCCCATCCATTGCCGTCGCCGCTGCTGCTTGTGCTGTGGTCACATGCACTTCACGCGCACTGCCCGCAGCAGAAGCAGCAGCAGCAGCAGCAGCAGCACCACCAGCAGAACCACCCGCAGCAGCAGAAGCAGCAGCAACGACACTCACCTGCCCTCTCCCCCTCTCCATGGGATCTGTCACCGTGCGCCGCAGATGGCGTGACACGGACGCAGACGAAGCAGAGGAAACAAAGGTACCAGACGAAACAGAAGGAGACGCAGCAACAGACACCCCCCTGTGGAGCCCACGCCTCTCCCTCACACCCGCCTTTCCTTCTGCCTTCCTCGTGCCCATTGCACCTGTGCCTGCACCAGATGGTCCTGGTGCAGGACCAGGTGGGCCCGGTTCTCCTGTGGACCAACCCCCACTTGCAACGGCAGAAGTACCCCCAAGAGCAATAGCACCACCAGCAGTAGCAGCCGCAGCAGCAGTAGCAGCAGCGCTACTGCTACCACCCGTAGCTGCAGCCAAAGCAGTGGCACTACCAGCAGCAGCAGGGAAACCAGGAACGCTACCGGCAGCTCTGGCAGCAGCGGAAGTGGAGAAGGAATGGAAGAGTCCAAACCGTCGGGCAGAGTTCGGACCAGGGGAGAGAGGGGGTAGGCCAGCAGAGGGCAGCCTGGGTGACATCTGAGATACTCTCACCGGGGCAAAGGGAACTGACACTGTGGTTGCGGAGAGCGGGAGCTCAGAAGCTGGGCAGGGGACAGAAATGCGCAGGGCGGGGCGAGGACGAGGAAGGGAAGGGCTGCGCTGCTGGGCTTGCTGTGGGTCTTGCTGCTGCTGCTGCTGCTGCTGCTGCTGCTGCTGCTGCTGTCTCTGCTCCTGTGGAGCAAGTCGCGGTGGCACTGCTGCTCCTGGTACCACTGCTGCCGCTGCTGTTTCTCCAGCAGCAGCAGGTTTGAAAGCCAGAGGGCTGTGGTTCCAGGGGAGGTTCCCGGAGGAGGCGAGCAGGAGGGCAGCAGCATCGGCGTCTGCATCCATCCCGCGGCGAGGGGCACTCTGTGACTTGCGCAGGGCACGCAAGGCAGCACCATTGCCATCCACCGACCTGCCCGCACCTGCCCGCCCTTTTCCTCCTGCTGTTCCTCCTCCTGCTCCTGCTGCTCCTGCTGCTGCTGTTGCTGCTGTTACGCCCGCGGCTCCATCTGCTGCCGGCCCTACACCCCCTGCCACCATGCCTGCCGCCCCACCCCTTGCGCTGGGCCCGCTGCGGGTTTGTGTGCCTGCCTTTGCCCCTGCCCCTGCTGCTGCTGCTGCTGCTGCTGCTCGTGCTGCTACTCCCATTCCCGGTCCAGGCACAGTAGCAGCAGCAGCAGACGAGGATAAAGAGGAGGAGGAGGAAGCAGAAGAAGAAACACCGATGATAGCACCACCAGCAGCCGCAGCAGCAGGAGCAGCAGCAGTTGGGTCGGGGCGGGAGAGAGCATAGACCTTGTCGCTTGGGGAGCAGTCAGCGTCATTGCTGTTGGAACCAGGGATGAATATCCGCGGCACTACAAACCCCGAATTGCGGCGGGTGAGAGTAGAACCGCCAGCACCCGGAAAAGACACGTCACCTCCTCCCAGTGCTGCTGCATGGGGGTTGCTCGTACTTGCACCGAGACCAAAACTGGTACTCCTACTACTGCTACTGGTGCTGCTGGTGGCGCTGCTGCTGCCAACGACTAGACACTCGGCAGGGTCTGCGGACGTAGCAGACGAGCTCGTGAGGAGGTGGGAGGAGGTGAAGCGAGAGGCATGAGCAGGGGGCACGGGGACAGAGGGAGGGGAGGGGTAGAGCGGCACAGGGAGGTCGTTAAGGCCGCCTCCCCTGGGCTCGCTCTTGGCTTTGGAGAGCATGCGGGAGCGAGACAGGCGGCCTGGTATGGACCCTGCAATGGGGCCGGGTAGCGGGGTGGGGCGCCTCTGATGCTGCTGCTGCTGCTGCTGCTGCTGCCACAGTTGCATTTGCTGCCTCATTTGCAGCTGCTGCTGTTGCTGTTGCTGCAGATTGGCGTGAGGGAAATCGGGACGCTGGTTGTGGAAGCTCTGCTGCTGCTGCTGCTGCTGGTGCGGCTGCTGCTGATCAGGACGGTAGCTGTAGCGGAACGATTGGCTGCGACCGGTCGGATGCTGATGCTGCCGTGACTTAGGGGATGGCAAGGCACGAGAATGCGGCAAATCTCCTCCTCCTCCTGCCCCTCCTCCTCCTCCACCACCACCACCACCATCAACCTGCTTACCCAGGCGTTCAGTCGAGCTGCGGGTCCTGAAATCCATCCAGTACGGCCCCGGCCCAGAGCCAGTACCAGTACCAGTGCCAGCGCCAATACCAGTGCCAGAACCAGTGCCACTCAACAGTGCCGTGCCGTGCTGACCTGCACCTCCCAACGGCCCATCCAGCTCCACAAACCGCCGCGCGGACACAGACCGCTCAAACGGCTTCAGCAGCAGCAGCCTGCCACCCTCCCCTGCTGCCGCTGCAGCTGCCGTCGCTGCTGCTGCTGCTGAAGCTGCTGCTGCGGATGATGCTGGTGAGGGTCCGAATGGCCCATCCGATGATGCACCTGCTGCGCCTGCAGCATCAGCATTGGCAGCAGTGGCACCAGCACCAGCGGCAGCAGGAGCAGCAGCAGCAGCAGCTTCCCCTGGTGCCATCTCCCTGCCCGGTCCATCCGCATGCGCCAGCCCTCGGGCCGCCAGTAGCCGCTCCATCATCACTGCCATTTTCACCGACACACTCTCCCCACCCCCCCCTCTCCCTTCCCCTCCTCCGCCTCCGCCTCCGCCTCCTGGCCATCCTCCCTGCTGCTGCGGCTGCTGCTGCTGCTGCGGCTGCTGCGGCTGCTGCGGCGGTTGTGGCTGCGGCTGCTGCTGCTGCACGCCTGTTGCAGCGCCTGCAGCAGCAGCAGCAGCGGCCACTTGGCTGAGGTTGAAGGGCAGAGGCATCAGGCGTCTCACGGGCATGCTCAGCGACTTGGGCATGGCGGAAAGCAGCGGAACTGTGCCCATTCCGCCGCTGCTGCCGGGGAGGCGCGCGCCCTGCCCGCCCAATCCCGCGGAGAGCCCAAAATCTTCCGCCCTGGATCCTGCTTCCGCCTGTCTGCCGCCCATGGTGCCCGGGATACTATTCCGCAGGGAAGTATAGCCTCTGGGGGAGACAGGGGCCATGGCTGACGCCCGTGAGAACTCCCTTCCCCGCCTAACGTCTTCCCCGCCCATTCCCCCGCCCATCCCGCCGCCCGTTCCGCCTACCATTCCCCCGCCTGTAACACCTCCTGCACGTCCCCCAGCACTCCGCAAGAACCTCTCCGCGGACGCCCCCTGAACGTCCGCCGTCCGCTCTTCCGCGCTCCCCGCACGCGCTACAAATTCGGTACCCGCGCCCTCCCAGCATTCCCCCGCCTCAACCCGTCCCCCGATTCCCTCGTCTCCCCTCCCTCCCCAGCCGTCCGCGCGCGCGCTTGGTTCTGCGCGGCCGGCGAGCTCCGCGGAGAGCAGCGGGGATTCCTTGCGCGGTGGGCGGAGGCGTCTTAGCGTGGATTGCGGTTCAATCTCCCACCTACCCGTGCGCGATACGAGCAGCGACTGACCAACGGCGCTGCGGAGCAGACGCACCTCGGGAACGGCTCCGCCGCCGCCGCCGCTGCCACCGCTCGCCCCGCTGCCGTCCATGCCGTCCCGACCGATGAGGTACAGACCGCCGCCAGCGGATGGTTCGGCGCCGCGTGCGACTAGAGGCGACACCAATTCGTCGAATTCCGACTCCGGAAGCGACAGGCTGCGACGCATTGTTTTCGTTCGCACAAGCTCCGGCCCCTCCTCTTCCTCTTCCTCTTCCTCCGCTTCCTCCTCGTCCATCTCCCCTCTCTCCGCCTCCTCTTCCCATCCGCGGTTCGTCGCCTGCCGCTGCTGCAGCAAGCGAACTCGCAGCAAATCGAGGACATGCTGTTTGCGACGGAGATCGCCGAAAGTCGCCGTCGCCGTCGCCGTCGTCGCATCCCCCGTGGCCGTCGCGGACGGCGCGGTGCCTTGCTCCAGCACCCACGTGCCTACTCGCTGTCGCACATGCTCGCGGAAACCCTGGTCTTGTAGATACCGCGCAAGAGTGGCGGACCGCTGCATGCTGCTACTTAGCGCAACCGCCGCCATGCCCCTCCCCCGCAACGTCCGCTCAGTCACGCTCCGCTCCCCCAACCCGCGGGTTCCGCCAGGCGAGCGCGGAGGGGCAATGCAGGGGACTGAGTCATCCAAAGGAGACATGCTCCGCGTGGCGGTTACATCGTGCGCGGAAAGCACGGATGCGCTCTTTCCTATCCCCGCTCCCGCCCACTGCCGCCTGTCGTTTGTACTGGCGCTTTCGCATGTTGCCGGGCGCAGCCTACTGACGCCAATGTCGTGCGGAACTCGCGACATGGATTCCGCTGCCGATGATTCACGCACGCCCGCATCTTGCGCATCCGATTCCCAGTTCCCCGAACCCTGATCCGCCCACTCCACCAGCTCTGCTCGGCGCGCTGCGTCGACGCCCGCGAGGGCATTGCGGAGAAGAGAACGTGACTCGCGCACACTCATGGCTTGCGGTGAGTGAGCGCACTGTAAATATGGGGATGCTCGCACCACCGCGACATCCAGGATCCGGAAGGAATTGAAGTTGCAAGCAACTCGTGTATCCTGTCCGCTTGCCGATGGAGGGATGGCTGAAACCAGGCGCAAGCTTTCCGTGCTGGACGGACGGTGCGATTGAAGTAACTACTGAGTAGTCATGTTTCCAAGAGGACAAAAAGGCTAGGAACAAGTCGGTGACAATCTATACGGCACCGCATAGCAGCGCACTGAAACGCGTGAAACATCGTACAAATTACTTCGCTGGACACAAGGATGAATGGCAAGGAAGTCTTGCTGCAGCAACGGGATGGGACGGGAATGCCTAGGGACAGAGAGGACACAACTCCACACCTCCAGTCCCTGAAGCATGCTACCCTACCTAGCCTAGGAAACGAGGCTCGTTGCTGTCACAGCACAGCACCAACAACAGACGGGCAGGTTACTGTTCAGCTGCTTGGCCGGAGATGACGATCAGACAAGCATAAAATTCAGCTCTCTTGCCTGTGGTGTGGTGGAATGCTTGACTGCTCCATCGCGGTGCGACGCGATCATTTGTCGTTTTTTTGTTTGTCTGATCGATTCCAGTTCAATCTTTTCCAGAATCTACACCCTACTATGTATGGTAATTCTTACAGGGTATTTTTCACTTGGGGGCGTTCAATAACTCGTCAGTAAACGCAGCACGAGAGATAAAAGGGGATGTTCAGACTACACATTTTATCTTTCTTATACATTACATGAATGAAAAAACATCGGGGAGTAACTGTATCTGGGAGGGTGGTGTCAACTATCTTAGTTATAGACTGTAATGAGATGCATTATAGAGGGTACAGATGTTAGGGTTTCCTATTTGTATCCAACACTTTGCTAGTTCATACATTCCGTTGCATTCCTACTTTGAGATGGTATCACGAGTAGGTTAGTTCCTTGTTCCTCTCTAGCGCACCTCCGCGCCCTCCGCGCCTTAGGGCGTATCTTCACTTCGGGTCATGGCACTGTTTGGGTCATCACTGTACACTTTGGGTCATGAGGGGACCAATGATATTCCAGTAGTGTAGCTAAAATGCGCATTATTGGTCGTCCAAGAATCTCGGATGACCCAAACAGTGCCATGACCCGAAGTGGATATACGCCCTTAGCCTCCGCGCCCTCCGCGCCCTCTCCGCGCCTTAGCGCCCTCCTCCTCTGCGCGTCAGCGCCCTCCGCGCCCCTAGCCCGCGCCGTCGCGGACCTCCGCGCCTAGCGCCCTCCGCGCCCCTAGCCTGCGCCCCTAGCCCGTCGCCCAGGCCCACGCCCTAGCCCGTCGCCCAGGCCCGCGCCCTAGCCCGTCGCCCAGGCCCGCGCCCTAGCCCGTCCCCCAGGCCCGCGCCCTAGCCCGTCCCCCAGGCCCGCGCCCTAGCCCGTCGCCCAGGCCCGCGCCCTAGCCCGTCGCCCAGGCCCGCGCCCTAGCTCGCGCATCCGCACCTCCGCCTCGTGCCTCCGCGCCTCCGCACATCGCGCCTCCGCATCCGCGCCTCCGCGTCTCCGCGCCCTCCCTTAGTGCACGCCCGCGCCCCAGCCCGCCCTCTGCTCACGCCCCTTTCCTCCGTTAGCACTAGCCCTCGCCCTGCGCCGCCCGGCCCGAACTCTCACCAGGCCCGTGGTCATTTTAGGGTTAACCCCTCCACCGCCCTGTTCACCGGGCCCGAACCGTCCCTACAGTCACTGGCTTTCTGCTCAGCGGCTGGCAGCCGCTCCTCTCCCTGGTGACCCTTTGTAGACTAGTCTCTAGCATAGTTCCTAGCCTCCAGTTTCCCGCCTCGCTTAGTCTGCTCAGTCCTCCGCCGGTCTCTACCTTAGTCTCCACTGGCGCTCCTAGGACTCCGTGTTTTTTCTCCTCCGTGCTCCAGCCGCCTCTAGCATGGCCTCCATTATGGAATCCCGCCGCCTTCGTTTTGATGCGGAGGGACGCCCGATCGAGTTCAGTACCTGGCAGCGCCAGACCACGCGCTACCTCACCAGTCAGCGTCAGGACGGCGCCATCCTGTGGGCCCACGCGTCTGGTGCCCTCAAGGCGCCCCAGTCCCCCGCCCCCCTGCAGACCGGCCCAGAGCCGACTCCTGCGGCCCAGGCGGACTACGACCGTCGGGTCCTGGCGAGGGACGTGTGGAACTCCCGCGACGCTGCCGCCGCTCTTGCACTGACGGAGCTCCTCCCCCCGACTGAGGCCGCCCACTTTGACAAGGTGGAGACAGCTCAGGGGGGTTGGGATGCTATTGTTGCACGCTATTCCACCCCTTCCTCTGCCTCCCTCAGTCGCCTCCTCATGCCGTTCGTGTTTCCCGACCTCGGCTCGTTTGCGACTGTGTCCGACCTAGTGACTCACCTCCCCTCACTTGACGCCGGTTTCCGTGCGGCCTGTACCGACGCCCAGCTTCTTGCTGCTCCCCCCCCCCCCCCATGTGGCTCACTGTGCACTGGTTAGTCACCCACCTCCATGACCGCCTTGCCACTGCTCGCGACGCGCTTCTCTAGAAGCACCCCACTGAGCTCACTATCGATCTCCTTGAGACCGCTCTCGGGACGATCGAGAGTAGCCTCCTCACCGTTGCCTCCGCCACTGACGCGGTGCCCCCCCGTCTCTTTGCGGGGTGTGCCGCCCCTCAGCTTCCCACTTTCACTGCTACCCGCGCTTCTGCTGCTGTGTCGGTTTCTGAGGACACTGCTGACGTTTCTGCCGCAGACTGGCAGAAACGGGGCAAGAGTGGCAAGAAGGGCGGGAAGGGGGGAGGTGGAGGCGGTGGAGGCGGCGGTGGAGGTGGCGGTGGAGGTGGAAGCGGCGGTGGTGGAGGCGGCGGCGGCGGCGGCGGCGGAGGTGCACCAGGAGGAGGGGGCCTTGGAGGAGGTGCAGGACAGACAGGCCCGCCCACTGGCGGTGGCCCGACCGGTGGGGTTGTTGGACCCCAGCAGCAGCAGTCGCAGCAGCACCAGCCACAGCAGGGACAGCAGCAGCAGCAGGGACCGCAGCAGCAGCAGGCACCGCACCAGTTCCAGCAGTGGGGTCCGCAGCAGCACTGGGGCCCTCCGCCGCAGTGGGGTCCGGGAGGACCAGGGAGCACCGGCCGCAGCGGCAGTACTTCCAGCTGGGCCCCTCGCCCCCCTCGCTGTGACACTGGCCCCTGCACCCACTGGTGCCTCACCGGACCGGGCAGCCCCTGTCTTTGCGGGCGCGACGACCACTCTGCCGCGCGGTGCTTCCGCCGCCTCGACGACCTCTACCGTGCTCGTTGGGGCCCTGCGGCGACCACGCCTCCCTGGGCTCGCCTGTTAGCCCGTAAGATTGATGTGTTTGATCTGTCCATGGACGATGCTCGTCAGCATGCTTTGTATGCTGATGTTGACTATAGTGCTGATGGATCTGTGTGCTCGCGTGTTCATAGATTAGCTTGCTTGCCTCCTGCTAGTGTAGACTTGTGCCTTTCTAGTCTAGGTGCTTGTGTTGCTGCTCTAGGTGCTTGTGTAGCCACTAGGACAGGTGACCCTCCGGCTGAGGCGTCCCTGTCCTTCACGCTGGACTCTGGTTCGTCTCAGTGCTTCTTGAGCGACCACACGACCCTCACGCCACTCCTCACTCCTGTTTCGGTAGCTCTGGCTGATCCTACCTCAGGACCGGCCGTTGCGCGTAGCTCCACTACCCTCCCGTGTCCTGTGGTCCCCTCTGGTGTCCTGCGCGGCCTCCACATCCCCTCGTTCACTCGGAACTTGGTGGGTGTTGGGTACCTCCAGGACAGGGGGGTCACGGTTACCTTTCTGGGGGGTGGGAGGACTGCGGTCTGTACAGACGCAGCCACAGGTGCTGTTCTGGCCACGTTCACCAGGGAGCCCCGCTCTGGTCTCTACGTTCTCCACACCGAGTGCTCCCCGGTTGCGTCCTCCGCTCAGGTCGTTGCGTCCCCTCCAGTCCATGTGTCCAGTCCAGTTGCTATGTCTAGCCAGGTGGTCGTGTCTAGTCCAGTTGCAGTGTCTATTCCGGTCGCGGTGTCCTGTCCGGTTGCTGCGTCTTGCTCCTGTCGCTCCCTCACCTACCGGACCGTCTTGTGGCACCACCGCCTTGGTCACCCGTCGATCCCCCGCCTCCGCGGCATGACCAGCCAGGGGCTTGTCACATGTCTCTCACGCATCTTTCCATCGCTCCCTACCTCACTTGCTCCCCCTTGCACTCCTTGCGTCGCCGGTCGCTTACGCGCCACTCCCCACTCCTCCTCCCTTCGTCCGGCCACTGCTCCCTTCGAGACTCTCCACTTGGACGTCTGGGGCCCTGCCCCGACGCAGGGATCTGGGAGGGAGCGTTACTTTCTGGTGGTCGTCGACGACTTCTCCAGGTACACCACAGTGTTTCCTCTAGCGAAGAAGTCCGAGGTGACTGCTACGCTGATCCGGTGGCTTCTGGCCACTGAGGGCACTCGTGGTCGTCGTGTCAGTTCTCTACACTCCGACCGTGGGGGCGAGTTTCGCTCCGGCATTCTTGGCGGATTCTGCGGCGAACAGGGCATCGTACAGTCCTGGACGCTTCCGGAGTCCCCACAGCAGAATGGGGTTGCTGAGCGCCGCATTGGCTTGGTCATGGACATTGCTCGCACGTCCATGATCCATGCCCGTGCGCCCCATTTTCTGTGGCCCTACGCGGTTCGCTACGATTGTCAACACTTGTCGCCGCCCCTCCGAGCACTTTCCGCACGATCTTCCTGACTCTCTTCCTTTTTCGCTTGTGCCGCTCGCAGCCTCCAGATGCTCGGGCCTTTCGCTACCGCTGCTAAGGATTCCAGCGAGTGACAAAGTGCCATGATACACATATAACAGGCAATGATACACACCTTACTAACAAGTTGACTCGTAGTTTAGCCATCTGTCAAACTATGAATATGCATGCTAGGCTATAATAGGAACATACTATGGGGTACAACACATTAGGGTTTCCTACTTGTATC